TGCTAAGGAAAAGCAAAGGCCATTATATAGCTTGTCCTGTGTCTTTGAACAATAGCCTGTTTACAGAGGCTTGTGTGGCACTAAACGTCCATGTTAGTTTTTCTCTTCCCTTATTTTCAACAGGTATATATTCACTTACTAACAACTTTAATCAATTCTTATCTTTAGGTTGCTATGACCGTTAGTTCTCGCGTTATCAAAACATTTTTACAGTGGTCTCCAGACGCTGTAGATGTCCCGCTTATGAACGGTCTACGCATTCAAATCATCCCTACAATTTCTGATCTTCCGCGTGCAAGAAAGTACCAATTCGCTGCCTTCATTGCTAAGGACTCGCTCTTGGTGGTTTGGGACGATGATCCGCTCAACATTATTACCAGAGCCAAGTTCATCGAAAATGAGCTCATGGCCTTAGTATGGAAAACCCCCGAAGCTCTAGAAGAGGAAGCAGCAAAGGAAGGGAGACAATTGGGTGTACAAATTGAAGAGATCATTGATGAGGAATCCGGACAAGTATCTGGATACCGCGAAAGAAGGCCCACAAATCTTTTGAATACCATCTTGGTTGCTTTTACTCTGGCCCTTGTCATCACAACCTTGGGTGCTGGGTATAGGCAGATAGGCATAGAGATTGCGGTAGATGGTAACATTCTGAGACTGGCATTTATTGCTTTATCACCCATTCAGGTTTTCTTCACATTGGTAAGTCATCTCCCCTTTCGGTCCCATTCTGTGGAGTTGAACTTGCTGATTCGTGAAAATCAAAAGTTTTTCGCTCAAGTAATCGTCGGTTGTCTTGCCCAGTGCTTTGGTCCCGTTTCCCAATTGACAGAGAATTCCAAATATTATTCGGCGAAGCCTCCACAACGCATCAGGACCGGAGTCCTTCCACACATAACCATCCAGTGCCCCGTGTACAAAGAGGGTCTTCAAGGTGTTATTGCGCCTACAATAAAATCTATCAAGCAGGCAATTAGCACTTATGAGCTCCAAGGAGGCACAGCAAATATTTTTATCAACGACGACGGCCTTCAGCTGTTCAAAGAAGAGGAAGAGCACTTACGAAAGGAGCGTATAGACTTCTATGCTGATCACAATATTGGCTGGGTCGCAAGGCCAGGCCACGGCAAGGACGGCTTCGTCAGGAAAGGGAAGTTCAAGAAGGTATGTCTGAGGTTTTCTGACGTTGAAATAAAGTGTTTTTGTCTTGAAGCCACTCCTGCGCGGTGGTCGTTGCTTCGTTTCCATTGTTTCTAGACCACTCTCGTCCTATCATAATTTTTGTAGATGTCTTAGCGCACCACCCTATTTCCTTTTTTTTTATTAACAGGCTGAATTCCTTGGCATGTCGATCAATTAGCTGACTCAGCTAACTCTACTAAAGGCCTCCAACATGAACTTCGGTCTTATGATCTCTTGTAAGGCCGAGGAAAAGCTCGAGTTGATTGAGCGTGGTGTTGAATGGAACCAGGCCAAAGAAGCCCAAGCTTATGAAGAATGCTTAAAGGAGGTCCTTGAGGAGCATGGGCGTGCCTGGGCTGATGGGAATATCCGTGTCGGCGACTATATTTTGCTCAGTGAGTACCTACCCCATACAATTTGTTATTTAGATTTTACTAATAACGATATCTCAGTCGACTCTGATACACGTATCCCTTCGGACTGTCTTCTAGATGCCGCCTCTGAAATGGAGCGCTCGCCTGAAGTCGGCATTATGCAGTACTCGTCTGGCGTTATGCAAGTTGTTCATAACTACTTTGAAAATGGCATCACATTCTTTACGAACCTTATCTATACTGCCATTCGTTATACAGTTGCCAATGGGGATGTTGCGCCCTTTGTCGGCCATAATGCGATTTTAAGATGGTCAGCCATCCAACAGGTTTCCTACCAAGATGAGGATGGCTACGATAAATTCTGGTCAGAATCTCACGTTTCGGAAGATTTTGACATGTCTCTACGTCTTCAGTGCTGTGGATACACCATCCGTCTCGCGGCTTATACCGGCGAGGGTTTCAAGGAAGGCGTATCACTTACTGTGTATGATGAGCTAGCCCGTTGGGAAAAATATGCATACGGATGCAACGAACTTCTTTTCCACCCGATACGATTCTGGCCTATTCGGGGACCTTTCACCCCATTGTTCCGCAGGTTTCTATTTTCGAATATCCGGATGACTTCCAAGATCACCATCATCTCGTACATTGGCACATATTATGCTATTGGTGCTGCCTGGATCATGACTACTGCAAATTATTTTGCAATCGGATGGTTTAACGGGTATCTCGACAAGTACTATATCGACTCATGGAAGGTGTGGTTTTCAATTGTAATTGTCTTTAACCTCCTCGGAAATGTTGCGTTGGCTATTATGAGGTATCGCATTGGGGAAAGAACCTTCTTTTATGCTCGTAAGTGAGATGTATTTCGTTTGAAGTTTTTAAAATTGTTACTAACAAAAGTCTTAGTCTTTGAGAATTTCAAATGGGTTTTCCTCCTCGGGATCTTCCTTGGTGGCCTGTCTTTGCATGTTTCTCAAGCATTATTAGCCCACATGTTCGAAATCAACATGACATGGGGCGCTACAGCCAAGGAAATCGAGTTCTCAAACTTTTTCATCGAGGTTCCTAAGGTACTCAGGCGCTTCAAATTCTCATTTGCCTTCTCGATGTTTGCAATTATCGGCATGATCGTTTTGGCCACTGGCGACTTTGTGCCTCACGACTGGAGAATCAAGGATTTCGTCGCGATATTACCAATGGCCACGGTTGCTGGGAGTCATATGTTACTGCCGATCGTTTTGAATCCGGCACTAATGACGTTCCAATGGTAGCTTTTTCATTACCTTTATGGGATTCATGTGATATGATAATGTTCATGGTGACATGGGTGCAGTTTTATATATTGTCTGGGGGGAAACGGTCCTAAACTTACATACTTATATATCCAACCTTTTTCTTTCATACAATAATTCTCAGAGCACCCTTTTCCTTAATTTCTCTTTACCTCTGATCAAATAGAAACACGCGGCAGAATTTTAAAGGATTGTTATGGCTTTCACATACTCTAATTTTCTTTTCTTAACTTGAAGTACTCTTTTTTTACCTTCGGCGTTGTACTAATTTCATTTGTTGCTTTGTCCTTTCAAGATGTACGACACACATAAGTATGCAGCAGGATGTTAGCAGAATCTTTCTCTTTTGTTCTAGGGTTTCTTATTCCACGACTTGGTGGATTTGAATTCGAAAAGAATAATGTTTACAGTCAGAAATCAATCGAAATTCGCAATATTATATGCTTGTCAAGCTTAAGCCCGGTTAGGATCAAGATTCTAGTGCCGTTTTATACGAGCACTTGACTGCTGGAAATCTTCCATGGTCCTATTGCAGTACTGCACGCGTGCGGTGGGGTCTGGAATATATTGCCAAGAGTTGAAGATCTGATAGTAGCTTCCTCCGCGGCCCCGTTTAAGTAGATAAAAAGGATCTACAGGACCAGTACATACATTTAGCTAATAAGGATAACCATAGAACCCAAATTCTTTTGAGACTTTAGTTTCGCTTCAAGGACTTGAGGAGGCATATTATTTCACAGCAGCTGCTAAAACACATAGACGATCTGAGGTTGGGAGGGCCGTCTCAATTGATCCTTGCGTAAATAAAGACTTTCTAACTATCAACGGTGAATATATTGAATGGCAACCGTATGCCTAACATCATTCCTAATAATGTTATTAATATTTCCTTCAGTCTATGTAAAACACCTGCATTTTAGAGAGGTATTTCCGATGGAACACCCCGCCCAGCAGGGGTGATAAAAGATAGGGCGTGTTGTAAATGATAAGAATCGTTTGGTGTTGTCAATTTACAAAGAAGAACCACAAACAGTTCATTCCATACCCTATATTTAAACTCAGAATAGACGGATTTTCGAGATTACATGTAGTCGACCAACACATAGAACACCTCCGGGAATGTCAACATTCAATGGCCAAACCTAGTGCATCAGATCAAGACATCTATTCTTTCTCGAGGGAAACTTATACCATAATTAATCAGATGGGCAATAATAGACCATTTTCCAGCAGGGCCAATCGGATAGCCACATGAAACCAATCTTAAATTTCAACGGCCGAACCCCCGCACCATAGGTCTGCACGACGTTTGTGAGGACTATCCAGGAGGATCCTGCAGAGAGATACCTTGCGCAAATCTCTTCGTTCTAGAACAATATATGATCTTCCGCTCTCATGTACAGAACGGCTGGTCTGTCGATCTGTTCCAGCTATGCAGTGTATGTACTCCGAGGAAGCCTTGCCTATTTCCCGCCTTCAACTATGCAGGTACGTAGCGCCCGATCTTTCTGTATGATATTCCCGATATTGCCTTATTTTACTCGGCTCATGCAGGTCAACAGTGATAATTGTATTGGTACATACGTAGCCAAAATTGAGTCGTATTCCATGCGGAAGATTAGTAGGCCATAGGGGAAATGATTAATACAAACCTGTGTTGATATACTGGGTTCCGGCCATGGAGGGAAAATAAGCGAATCCCGAGTGAGATTTGATGATTATCCCCAAGGACGGAATCCCTGGGTACATCGTATAGACACAGACATACCTAATACAGATTGAAACAGTACAAAAGGCTTGTGTTGGCTATAATGATTTTCTAGGTATAGTGGTAGTTACATAATATTACGACAAGACCTGTTTCCCGCTACTGTCCTACTAACGAACTCCTTTGCTATATACTCTACTTTCCTACGCGCCAAAAAGTCTACTAAACGCAAATAAGAAATCTGTTGCTCTTCAGGGACGAGCTTGGGAGCGTTGGGAACTTTGGGTTAGCTGCACGTTGACGTCTTCTTATACACGTTCAGGGGTAAGCTTCTCTTTTATTTGTATTATTTAGACTGATGCAAAGCTAGAAGACTTTATACTAGTGTAGTTCAGATCCAAGAAACCTGCAAGTTTCTTTCGTTAAACCCTCAAACTTTTAATTCTGATGGTCAGATGGTTTGGGTTGAGTAAGCCAGAAGATTTTCATCTGCGGGTCCATTTCAAGTAACCTATCCTCGCACTCGTCCCGGCCCCACTCGATGTTCATTCCCCATTCAATCTCCCATTTCAATTTCATAATAATTGCCCCTTCAATCGAATCGAAAGTAATTGAAGCCGAGCTCTTCAATCCGCCACCGTTGAAGTAAAGCTTCTGATTCTGAACGGTAAATGAGTGCCCATCGTCGTCCTGTGCGGTTGATTCAACGAAAGAGCGAAGTTTATTGATGGAATTGACTTCGTCGGGCATGCACGTTAGAAGCAAAACCCTGGACTCGCGATCATATGCTGGTGGTTGGATAGTTAATCCTAGCACACCATGGCATCTTAGGCCGTCAACCACGAGGCTGCCGGGGTATTCCTGAACCCACTTAAAAAAGCTAGCAGCAGCTTCTGGGTTGCAGAAGGTAATAAGGGCTTGCTTGAAGCTATTGCTTTTCTCAGCGTCGATAATACGTATATCATCGACTTTACCGCCTCGAACAAAAGTGGCAACCATAGCTGTTGTGATTTCGATTGGCAAGCGAGTCAATTTCACAACCCTCGCGCAGTCGTATTTGTTGACTACCACCTTCTTTTTTTTGAGCAGCTCAGGTGGGGTTGGAACATCGTTCCAAGATCCCGGCGACCGATCAAGACCGATCCAGACAGCGGGATTGCTTTCTGCGGTTGCGCGGAGCCTCCAAGCACCAACATTTTTGGTAGGGTCTTTAGGCACTTTTGTCGGCTGATGGTCGTTATTGGTGTTGTATTTTTGAGTGTGAACCTTTTCATGAATGCTGTGCTTTTCGTTTACGTGAGTGCTTTGGTGTCTTTCAGAACTGTCGTCCGAATCTGTCGACTCTAAGTTGTGACAATAAGAGTCATGGGCGGAACTAGAGGAAGCCTCTTCCTGGTTTGGTTGTGCGTACTGCTGGTCAGTGCGATTGGGGCGAATGCTAATCCCGGATCGAAGTTTGGTATTATCCATGGAATCACAATCTCTGTTTGTTCAACGGAAGAATCAGCCGTCAGGACGAAGATCAAAAGAGCCGTTTTGTTATCAAATACAGAGAAAACTTATCTAATAATATCCGAGTTATGTCTAGGATAAAGAGGGAGAGACCAGCAAAAATTTGCAGACAGATAATACAGAAAGATGAAAATAAAACTCACTTATTGGAATCTCCCATGCCTACTCTCGACGACTGAAACCTCTCAACCCCACAATTAAGTATCTCTCTTGATAGATCAGACATAGCCTGGGTGCTCTTCCTACTCCGGAAAGTTTCTTCATGTATACTACCAGTAGAATTCTTGAGCTTGATCCATTCCCGAAGGTTGTCACCGAGTAAGTTTTCTATCTCAGAGGGGTTGTGATTATAAATGGTGATTAATTTCTCGACGAATCTCCCGACAGAGATTCGGATCTCCTGGATGCTCTTGTTCGTCTTTTCCTCCCTCATCAAAGCTTTTGACAGCCGCGAACTAAGGATATTCTCGGCGTGGAAGCGTTCTTTTTCAGCTGACTGGGATTCCACAAGTCTCTCTTTATACCAGTTTGCACTTAGCTGCAATTCATGCTTCGAGTCTTTCAAAGCACGGTTTTTTGCGTTGAGTAGTTTAATTTGATCGATGCTATCAGAATTAGCCTGCTCGAGGTCTTTGATCTTGCTGCCCAGTGGGGAATTTTCTTCTTGAAGAGAGATAAGTCTTTGGGCAGTGGATGTGACATTCAAGACGAGTTTTGTGAGGTATTCTTGAGTTCGGACGTCCCCAGTAGCGGTGCATCTGCGGAGGCAGTCTGTGAGACTATCGATAGGGTCGGTGCTCTCCCCAGGCGTAGCCTGGTTAACAGGCGAATAGCCATGATTATTCGGCGGACGCATGGCTAGTTTGAAATCTGTATGAGACAGAGGATTAGGATGGTGGTGAGATGGAGAAAGATGGTGGGGCATAAATGATGATGTAGCATAAATGGTGGTGGGGAATGGAGGGAGGTGGGCGTGAAGAGCGTGAAGAAATTGATGGATTGAAATAGTGTAAATTGATGAAGGGACTCGCAGACAGAGGCTTACAAAGAGTGATGAGCCTCTCGTATATACGCGAAAATTTCCTTTACTACCTTAAGTGATTCGAAATTGAGATTTAAAATACTGCTAGACTTAATTTTCTTTTTAAAGAGTGAAGGTTTCATTTCGTGAATTCATTCAGTGTGTTAACCAGATTTAAACAAAAAAAAAATCTCTTCTACACTCAGCTGACATCTCAAAATTCAGCGCGAAGAGGCAAGTCTCTCGAACTTCTCCCTACGGATACACCAATCTTTCCTTCAGTTGGCAGTATCCAGTTTTGTCTCTCCGTATCCCACCAACTCAACTCCTTTCGTGTGACTCCAAAGGTGATTTTCTTGCTCTCACCAGCTCCCAATGCAACTTTTTCAAAACCTCTCAACGCCCTTACTGGTACTCCTTCAACACTATCCGGGAGAGAGATATACAACTGTGTAACTTCTTTACCGTCAAGCTTCCCGGTGTTTTTAACCGTGACCTCTACCTCAAGAATCACATCCCAAAGCGAAGGGTTACCTCCTTCTCCACCACCGGCGGGTGACGGCTGGCGGACTGTATGATAATCGCGTGGGTAAGGATAATCACCATCATGGCGCACTTCATCGGCTGATTCCAGATATGGATAGATGTATTTTTTGACACGGTTGAATCCCTTAGGATATAGAGTTTCAGAGATTGGCGGGAGCTTGTTATCGTAAGTCGGTGGATCGAGTCCATCAGGACGACGAGCCGGTAGAGCAGTCTTTAGTGCCTTTGCTGTAAGTTTGAGATTTGAAAACTCAAACGAAGTGTAGGAAAGACCGAAGCCAAACTCATAGCGTGGGGTAATATCATTTTTGTCGAAGTATCGATAATCAACCAAGAGTCCCTCAGAGAAGTTTTGTTGTGGCCTAATAGAATTAGGGATATACATGATACCAGCAGTTGGGCCGTAGTCTTTCAAGCTCTTCCCAACTGTGTAAGGAAGCTTTCCGCTGGGATTCTCGTCGCCAAACAGAACATCAACAAGAGCATTTCCACTCTCTTGACCAGGTAGCTGCGCCATGATAATGGCCTTTACAGCTGGTTTATCCACCCAGTTTTCGACAATAACCGGACCAACAGAATGGATAACCACGATAACGGGCCCACCACAACTCTCAGCGACTGTCTTGACAAGCTCATCGCCTCCCTTTTGAGCGTATAAATCATTCCGGTCACCAGCAACGCCAAGGTCAGAGATAAACCCCTCGCCAGCATCAGCATTGGCAAAGACCAGGCACAGATCCTGTTCCTTTGCCGACTTGCGGATTTTCTTCAACGAATAGTTGTCCAAAATGCTTGATATCTCGGGTATATCATCTTCAGAAGTGTTGAAAGCCTTCGAAAGTGCGGATAGTGGGTCGACAAGATATGGGAACTCGACGGCGCCTGAACCCCATCCAGATGCCAAAGTACCTTGATTACAGCCGCGGTCTTTGCAAAAGTTTGCTCCTTTTCCGGGGCCTGCATCCTCGCCGTAGATGCCCACTCTCTTTCCACTCCATAAACCTCTGACAAGGGGAAGTACGGAATCTTCGTTCTTCACAAGAACCGTAGCCTCGGCGGCAATCTTGCGAGCAACTTTGTGATGATCACTCGAGACATCTATAAATTTATTGACGACCCCAGTTTCCCCTTCCCCAGAACCAAAATGTAACAGTCCCTCTTCTTCATCTGTCCAGCTGGAGAAGTTGGGTCCCTCGGGAGAAAACTTGCTCTCGTCATCTTGTCCCATCTGGTACCACGTAGCGACAATTCTTGTGGCCATGTCATTTAGCCTTTCGATAGGAATTGAGGAATTAAGGACGCCACGTGTAAGAGTAGGACCCATAAGTGAGTCGCCGTCAGCCCAGACCATTCCGTCTCCAGGCATCGTCATGTCAAGTCCTGCAAGAACCGAATCAACGCCGGAGCGTTGTGCAAGCCAGTCTGATTGAACAAAGCCTTGAAAGCCGAGCTCATCTTTAAGGAGCCCATTCAGAATCTTACTATTACCGCAAGAGTAGGTATTGTTGGTCATCTGGTATGAGCACATAATGGATCCAACGCCTGCTCTTACGGAATCGGCGAATGGCCAGAGATACATCTCATGCATGGTCCTATCGTCAATATTACTGCTGATAGCGTACGGCATTCCCCACTCGTGGACTTGTCTAAAATGCTCTTGTTCGTTCGCTTAAACATTTTTATACAAATCAGCACAAGTTCTTACCTTGTCGATGAGAAAGGGGTATACCAATAAAATGTTTTGCAGTGGCAATAACACCCTGCCCTTGGATACCCTTAATCGTTGCAGCTGCGGCGGCACCTTGAAGATAAGGATCGGATCCAAATCCTTCCCAATTCCTTCCACCAGCTGGCATTCGTCCTAGGGGGCCCATTGCGGGGCCGAGAAGAATATGAATTCCCTTGAGGCGAGCTTCAAGACCATGAAGCTTCCCACGTTTCTCCCTATTTAAGTCATTAGTATAACTTCAATATTTAACTCTTCAAAGATAAGAACTACTAACATCAACTCCTTATTCCATGTTGCTCCTACAGTCAAACCGGCAGGCCATGCTGTAGCATGATCGGCAAATCTAAGTCCCAGAGGGCCATCTTGAAGGCAAAGAGAAGGGAATACGCCAGGAACGGACCCAGTGTTACCTAGGTCACAAATTAGCATCGTTCTCAGGCCCAGTAGTATTATCCCTGAAATTATAAACGTAAACCTTACCAACACACATTTCCTGCGCCCACCCAGTACCGGTGGTGATGTTAACCTTCTCAACCAGACTCATCTGACCTACTAGCTTGGCAGCTTTTTTATATGACCCCTCCCAGTTTTTTACAGTTCCTCCCTTAGCTAATTAAATATTAGCACTCCCATTCAGAAGAATTTTCAAATGTGGAAAGCTTACGGCTTGGATACCAGCCCTCGCTTTCCCACTTTTCCGGCCCAAAGCATGTTGTATATACGACTCCCGAGGCTGCCAAAACTGAAACCAGCACAACTACACCTGCCACTGTCCCTAAACAAATTCGTTTCAAGGTGATTTTGCCATTCTTGTATTTTTTAAATCCTGATGCGTCTGCAGCAGATGATTTGTACCATTTTGGTTCTTTTCCATACTCAGGATAGCTAGAGTCGGTTGATCGGTAGGAATCGATTGAAGCTCTTGATGTGTCGCTGGCGAAAGCCTTTGATTTTGCTAATAGTTCCTCACGATCTGGAGACGAACGGCGGATTTTCGACCCCATTTTTTCTGACATCTTCCTCGTATGAAAAACAGGAGAACAATTCCAGACAGAAGCTGGATGGTTGGGGAAATATATTCTTGAAAGCCTGACAGCCTTAATCAGACGTGACGAGGCCAAGACACGGCAAAAGGGTTGTCGGGCCGCAACCCCGCTGCAGGGTGTCTTCTTTGGTGGGTTTTCTGTCAATCCTTCCCCGCGCGGGGACCAAGAGCCTAAAAGAGCCGCATTGTACCCGGGTTGTGGATCGAAAACTCTAGGCACGGTACCCAGTACCAGTTCAAGTGGCTACGGGGAGTGTCGGCAATCAGGGAGTTTGAGCTTGTAGTTCTTGGTTTTATCCGGAAAACTAACAGTACTTAAGTTCTAGAGCGCCTGGATCACGTACTCTAACGCGTAGAGAGTTTAGGTCGAGACACAAACTAGAAAGATAAAGTCAGGGTCACTTATGTAGATGTAATTGAGGTATATACATATATAACTGAGAATTCAATAAGTGGTAAATATCGTGGTCCTGGGCTTCTTACCCATTCTCAACTACACAGCAGCCCTTGCCAAAGTATTTAGGCTCGAGGATACTACCGATCTCTATAGCTATCAATTGATTATTTATGCCTCCGATCATCACAGAATAATCCTGAGTTTTAACAACGGAGAACAGACTTAGACTTCAACATTGACGTGAACCTATAGGGTAAAACGATGTACGTACATATATGTATGTACATATGTAGGTAGAGTAGGCACATCGATATATGTGTATACGCACTTGTGTGCAGTAGTTGAACTCTGAATTGTTACGATTAATGGGTACACCCTATTAAAAGATAAGTTATACTGTGTCACCGAATCAGGCCTTTTGAGTAGTGGGTCTTGGTCGGTAAGATTAAGCTTTAGGTTCTCGCAGTCGGTTTATCTAGGTTATACTAGTATAAATTTTCTAGTAGTTGCTACGTGGATATATTGAGTGGGCGCCGGGCATATATCGTCGATAACGATTTACCGGGATTTATTTAATGCGCGAGTACTCGTATTTTTTTGACGTTTCCGGACGCGACCACTATTGCATGCCATACAAAAGATAGCCTTGGCGGGTTTTTTTCTGTGTATGCAATAGCAGTTGCATCCGGAAACGCTGTGAAATTGCGAGTATTTCGATTGCATTTTTTCCTCTCATGCATAGTACATTTAGTAATGAATACATCTAGGTTAATTAATACCTGTTGTAGGTACTGTGATCCACAAATATTACACGCCCTGGAACTTGCCATTAAAGCCAAGTATAACCCTGCGCGCTCTACATAAACTCCATATATGCCATAGATCTAGAGTATACATGTAGTTAGGTACGTTACATGTACGTATGTATATTCGTTATTTTTTAGCGTTTCCGGACTGGACTGGGTCTGCATACCACCAAAATATGGTTGTTATGCACGATTTTCACCCATATCCAGACCCAGTTCAGTCCGGAAACGCCAAAAAATAACGAGTATAAACTTACAGAGTACTTGTATGTATCAATTGGTTATGGTATGGCCAATTGCCCTTCGCCATTATTATCATTGGTACTAGTTCGTGCGCCCAATAACCAGCTAGCCAATGATAACACCTAAGAAACATCACGTTATATCACTCGCTGAGCAAGATCGGCCATACACAGCCCCCCATTAAACTGAGGGATAGAACACCTAGATAACTGTCACACACATTAAAGCAATATCACTCTAAAAGATATGTCGTCCTAAAGATGACGCTTAATCAACCAATAGCCGCCGAGAAGGCTGTGCAATACCTCTACACCACCTTGTTCTGTTAGGAATTAACCAGTAATAATACTTCTAGGCTTCGAGATACTCCGTGTGTGTCCAGTGTTGTGAAAGCTTTGAATAAGTATTTGTGTCTTTACTAATACTGATTGACCACTCGCGCACGATTCCCGTGTTTTCTAGCCTTTTTTATGATTTTACCAAACACAATTAACACCCAGGCCGCGCAGTCTATATACATACGATGATACAAATCTAAGACCCAAATCTTCTGATCAAACGCCTCTATTGATAATCGACAATCATTCTGGCCTGTGAAAAGTATATGTGTGCATGCAACTCGTCGTAATTACGCGCACGAAGAAGCTCTCCGTCGAGAACAGAAATTCAAATCAACTCTCTTTGGGCGCAGCAATGTGGCTGCTTAGGGATGCGCACGCGACGTGCCAACAAGACCCTCAACCAATCATCCCGATTTACAAATGAACCAATAGGCTCCGCCATAATGTGTATAGTACTTTAGTTGAGTATGGTGTTTTTTGGCCAGCGTACTCTATCAGCAAGAACCTCTTTAGACTAAATGCACCGATTTAACAATTTAGCAATACAGTTTTAATTTTCGCATTATAATGGTATACATGTAATGTACCATATCACTTCTACGTGAGAATCACACATAATCACTCGTATGTACTTAGATGTCTCAAATGCATGTAACCACGAATTGAGGCGGTGCACCACGCGAAATACATACTCGAGCAGGGCAGGTACATACGATACTGTACGGATACATGTTGATCTTCTCAAATCATAGCCACCGCCAAGAAAAGTGCGAAATAGCACGAGCGTGCGGTTTCGCACAGTACCGTGTATATTATGAAGACGGAGTTGGAAAAAAACGTATGTAGCCTTTATAAATTTACTTATTCCTCAGTCTCAACCGAACGCCGTCTACTATCGATCGCAAGCTCCAGAGACGAAGCACTGCTTTTGAAACCTACGAACTTAATAATTTAACAGTTTTTAATCCCATCTGTATATTTAGTTATACTACAGACGTCGCTACTCTCCGGGACTCATTGAAACAGGAACTCCGACCTCCGACCCGGCCCATGCACCCCTATTTGTTCTCAGCGCTTGGCTCGGTAACGGATTGTAGGAGCAAGGTTTGTGTATCCCGAACCACCCACTTCAAAACCTTCCGCTACAGATGTAGCTTGGCCAGTTGACGTACCCTTGGGCACTACCGTAGATCATGTACTTACTCTCAAAACACTAAGCACGCAGGTTCGAGATCTTGTTCTAGTCAAGAGGATAGACCTACAGCCTGGCACTGCACTGGTTCAAAGAATCTTTAACGAAAGCTTGAAATTTGGCTGCCAGGGCTTCTTTGAGGATGACACTCTTTATTGTAAGCCACTCATAACCGCAGTTGAACCCCCTCCACTCAATATACAATCTGTTAATATTTAATATTAGCAGTGAAAATTATTTCTTGGCAAAAATTCAAAAACGAAATTCAGTTTACACACTTTCTTGGATCCGAGAGGCAGAGTCCTGTATACTCTGGGTATGTATGACATCGATGTACCCCACACCTTGCTTCTTCTTCTTCCTCCTCTCCTCCTCTCCTTCTTTTTTTCGTTTCCTTCTTTCTTATTATCCCTTATGCTAATCTTCCATCAATTATAGTTGCATCGAGGAGAATTTCCACGCCGCACACGTTTTCCTGTTCGCGGGGGCCATAGGTTCACCTGTAAGAGCATAATCGATATTTACACTGTCTATGCATGTATCTAACTATCTGCATTACTTATTGCTTAGGCGATTCTTCACGATGCTCCACTTCCACCGCCACAACCATCTCAAGAAGAACCCCAAGACGACCCTCTAGAAAAACAAGAGTTGGCTTCTGCGCGCAAGTGCACCAGCCTCCCTATAAGGGAACACCCAGCCAACCGGAAACACCAGTCGGGAGATGCTATAGATGAACCCGTACTCAGTAATGCTCCCGAAACACATCAGGCTTTAGCGGGTGAAATAGAAAGGCTGGTATGATACCCAGTTTGTACTTGTACTTTCCTCCAATGAAAACTATTAGTGAATGCTAACATAAATATCCAGCCTCCTTTTTCAACATCCAAAGCTTGGTACCGCGAGAAATTCTTCAGTCCTATTCTAAATCTTCCAACACTCGTTCGGTCAGAGCAATATACGAGTAGAGAGCGCGAGAGATCCCAAGTCATCAACGATATTGATCGTTTATGTGCCACACTCGATGCGACAACTCTCGAAGAGCAAAGCACAAATGATGTGCCAATCGATTCGGGCTTCAAACAGAAGTCGTGTGGCTCTAGCAACCAAGCCAGTAGCTCTAGCAACAAAGCCGGTGGCTCTGGAAGTAGTCGAAATTTAATTAAACGGGATGGCCAGCGGTCAGCAGGCTCTGACAAGCCAAAGCTACGTCGCAAGAGAAGCAAGCAGTCCAGAAAGAGCGGCTCGGAGAGCGAAAGTGAAAGCGGTATCCGAAAGAGAACAAAAGTTTCTGATCCAAAATCGAATCACACGTTTCAATGCAGGATCTACGAGAAGTCAAATACCCCTCCGGATGGGAGGCCGAGCACCCCTCCAGTTTACGAATACCCAACCTGTAACGCCGAAAAAAGCATTTTCAAGAGTCATAGCAAGATGATGTAAGTTAATTTACACCTCACTTCCTTCTTCTTTGTTACTGATATGGTAATTCTATTAGTGAGCATATCCTTCGAGTACACATAAAGCCGATTCAATGTAGACGATGTATGTCACGCTTCGGCAGACCTAGTGAACGCAATCGTCACGAGAAGGAGGTTTGTATAAGAGATAGACTTGTTAAACGACCAGAGGGGGAAAAAGGCCCAAACGACGTTCCGAAGTATGTTATTGATATGGGTAAAGAAATATCAGACTGTCCAGATATTGACTCACTGGATTCGGTGCTTTACCCTAATGGTCAAAAACGGTACGACTACCTTGACAAAACATACGGTACGTATAAACTTTGAACACAAACCCTCAAAATAACCTTGACCCCCCGAATACTCGTGAAAACTAACAGAGGAAACCCCCCCCCCCCCCCCCCCCCCCCAATCCAGACCCCGAAGAAAATCAAGGAGAATCCAAGAATCCAATTCCTCAGCCGCCCTTGAACATAAATTCTCACGAACGAAATGAGCTGGAAAGCAGCAATGTTGGATCTTGCCCTGTAGATGGGGCTGATATTGAAACACACTACCAAAATGTTTGGGGTAATCACATTGATCATGTGCACCGTGATCTGAACAGTCAATCCAATGGTCTCGGCGATGGTCCGTCGGACCTCGACTGGGACGATGCCTTAGCCAGGGATCTATCTAATATTCCCAACTTCCCAATTGCAGCAAACCCAGATACGGCCACAATGATCGAAAAGATAGTGAGAGATCAGCCTGACGCCGAGGAGGACCCAACGCTTTACAAAGAGCTTATAAGTACTTTACTTACTAATCTGCCTCCAACGCTTTACAAAGAGCTTATAAGTACTTTATTTACTAATCTACCTCCAAAACTCTTGGATGACTTGGTTACACATATTCCTGCCGGACCCGGATATACTACATGTATATCACCCGATGTTTTATTCAAGTCAGCAATTGAAGAACTGTGGTTTCCCAACAACTATGCCCGACAACTTGCATCTGATAGCGATGACCCTCCAGGTATGTCATAGCATTTTAATTTACTTCTCTCTTTACTACGACTAAATTATAGATAGATCCTCTCAGACCAGCGCCCGACAGCGGCTTTGATTCGATCGAGACCGATAAGATACACTCATTGGTAGATTCGAACTGAACCGATGCCGAGATCGAGATCGAGAAGATACACTCATTGGTAGATTCCAATATTCCATTTCGTATGTTGAAGCATAATTAATACTTACCAGAAAAATTATTGCGACTCCCCATAATTTGGAACTGGGGGGATGGCCTACGACTTACAATGCATCGAGTCCGACCTAAAAATCGATCATCCTGAATATCTTGAGATATCTATTTTTCTTTTCTTTAAACCTATCACAAAGCCGCTTTCATTTGTATTCACTTTTCTTCTTGAAGATTTTCGTATGTTTACCTTTGTTTATATTGTGTTGGAGTATATTATACCATGGTACCAGAATATACGTATTTTATGTTTGCTACGCGGTTTATGAGTAATTTATTGTAACTGTAATTCCCAAAGGTGTAATTGCTTGCGAGATTATTTTTCTTTTCTCAGAACTGTCTTTAGTTTTAAGTTTTATGCCCTACTTACTTCATGTGATAAAATCGACGAACAGAAATGGCTCTTAAGCTTGATGAGTGCGACGAGCAAGTGTACCATTTGGATAGAGGCCGCAGTTTAACCACAACTCTCGATCTTGACACCAATTTCTTTCTTCCTTTCTTTCTTTCTTTCTTTCTTTCCTTCATTCATTCATTCTTTCTTTCTTTCCTTCTTTCGTTCTTTCGTTCTTTCGTTCTTTCCTTCTTTCTTTCGTTCTTTCGTTCTTTCAAGAAAATATTTTTGGTCTCTCTGGTAGAATTTAAACCTTTAAGTTGCTTGTGCTAGGGGTCGTCCGGGATACAGATATATAAGCTAGGGCTCGTTGCGCTTCACTTGGCAAACCTCTAAAATATCTAGCTAGATGTATAGATATAGAAGTATGGCTTAAATCTTCGACCCAATTGTGAAATGAACCCCACGAACTGATCTTACTCAAGACAAGTGTTAAGGGGTAATGTTGTTTTGCTAAGATCATAGGGTCTAACTCGTGATTAAGGTTAGGGGTAATATGTACCATCATTGCCAATAATATAACGCTATACTTAACATGTATTAACCCTGTGCTATCGAAACACGCTAGCCCTTTTGTGCTTTCTTATTAATTTGCATGCACTACCTATTCAACCTGATTTGACCTAACAATCCCTCGCTTAAGTTTGCTAACTTGTTACTTCCCCTCCATGCATAAAAAAGAGTCATCATTAACAGCTCAAGAGGTTTAAAATCAATATATTGATGATATACACGGGCCCGCGGGTCAGTAGAATCAACCCTGAACTATTAGTAAACTTTGGCGTAGTACTATTCACCTACTATATCTACATGTAGTACGTATAATCATCCAATGGCCGCTAATTCGGTGTTTTGTACTATTGATATTAATTTACCTTCACTACATGTATCCAATACATACTGGAACAACGTCGGGCATTATATAGTATAAACGATCCTGTGGTTTATTAAACACAAAAACTCTAACTTTGAGAGGAGAAAAAAACATTTACAGCTCGGGCTACTGTTGTCCCTAAAAGAAAAGAAAAATCAAACAAAAACACTATTTGTACACATAGAACGACAAGTCCGCATCAGGATCCATTTCCAGCTGTGTTTTACCATTGCCCATGAACTTGAACCTGTTGGCACCGTTGTACTTGAAGTTGAAGTCCTCACCCCGAATGCTATCGATGAGCTCTTTGTAATGGATGACACTGCCTGCATATGTCGCGGTGACTTTACCATCAACGCTTCCGTTCTTGTACCACGATTTGCACCCACTAGACCAAACAGTCCGCTTGAGGTATTCCTGTGTGTAAACGTTGTACTCTTCTAACACATCCTTCTTAACAACGAAAGACCTAAAACTTGTTAGATATACATTAAAATGTCAATCCAGGAGCTATAACTTACTTGATGTCTTCTGATGCCATCTTTTTGACCCATCGCAAAATGTACTCCGAAGTCCACTCCATCACAGCTAATAGAGAGCCGTGGCCAACAGGACAGTTAGGTCCGTTGATGATGAAGTAGTTTGGAATATCAGGGGCGTGAATTCCAAGGTAAGCCTCTGGGTTTTGTGCCCAAGAGTCGAGGTTCTTTCCATCATTGCCCTCCAACTTCCACCGCGGGACGAACGAAACGTCAAAGCCTGTAGCGCAGATTATGGCATCTAATTGTGTCTCTTGGCCATCGACAGTGACAATTCCCTTCTCAGTAATCTTCTCAATTCCTGACCAGGTATATGTGCAGTTCTTTTCCCGCAGTGCCTCAAGATACCCCTCGCCGGGTGTAAGCCTTCTACATCCAACACGCCATTTTGGGATGAACTGCTTGATAAGCTCTTCATCACCACCAAGACGCTCTCTCATGATTTTGTTATACATGTCGGTGATGTAAAGGTGTTCAGGGGAGTCGTTGATAAGAGCATAAAAGAAGTGGTTGAACGCATTTTCAATCCCTTTGCGATATTTAGTCAGAGTCTCTGGCTTATCTCTGAACTCTGCCTTTTGCTCTTCGGTGTCTGCAGCCGGTCATGTTAGCATTGATTCTAGCACCACTCTAACTCATGGGAAAGGATATGCATACATTTAAAGTTCTTTCCCTCCGGGGTAAATTCTGAGGAAAATCCAGCACTGATCCAGGTTGGTGAGCGCATGAAGTTTGTAAGGTGCCCAGCAACCTTTTGCAACTGAGGAACGATTTGGATGGCGGAAGATCCATTTCCGATAATACCAACTCTCTTTCCGGTAAAGTCGTAGCCCTTATCCCTATAAGATTGTTAGCCTAAATCCCTTGAGGGGAAGTTGTACTTATGTGACTTACCACTGGGCGCTGTGAACAAGATGTCCTTCAAACGACCCAAGACCCTCAATGTCAGGCCATCTCCACTTGCTTTAATTGAAAGTTAGTATATCTCTTGTCCTATTAAATCTTGAGAATGAATCATACTTTAAGATTCCTGAAGCATCAATAAAGACCTCACACTCATCGGAGATGATGGTTCCTTGTTGGTCAATCTTGAGCTCCCACTTTCCTCGTGACTCGTTCCAGATAGCTTCAATTATCTTGGAGTTGAAAACAACGTCACGAGTAAGATCGTACTTTTCTGCCGTATTTTTGATGTACTGGAAGATTTCTTCACCCCCACAGTAGAAAGAGCTCCAGTTCGGATTTGGCTCCCAGGAGTAGGTATAGATGTGCGCTGGAACATCGCAAGCAACACCTGGGTACCTGTTTTCCAGCCAAGTACCACCAACGTCGTGCTAAAACCCTCATTAGCTTTGAGACTCTGTTTCACAAGTATTTAGGTCCGTACATTTTTCTCATAGATGACATGGTCGACAAAGTCCTCGACCTTGATCTCATGCCGCATTTTGTATGCGACCATCAAACCGGCGTGTCCAGCACCAGCGGTCACAACTCTCATCTTCTTAGGAGCGAAGAGAGGCTCCTCAACAACAGGAACCCAGGTCTTGGGAAGTGTTGCAGTTCCCGAGCCTGGAGTTGAAGGTTGCTCATCTTCAGTGTGGGGTGCCATAACGTTGCCCATGGTTTTAGTTGTAGGTATAAATTGGATATTTGGAATAAGTATTTAAAGGGTTCGATCGTGTTTCTTCACAGAGATGGTTGTCTGGAAAACTGAGGTGATTTTTTTCGACTCTGCCTGGGAGTAGGTGATATATATACTCTTCGGAGAGCATCCAACAAGATGAACACCAACCAAACAGGAAAAAGATCATTGAGACTTAGTATGGAAGGATGTCAATCCCAATGTGGTTGATGATAGTGTCAGACAGCCCTTTTCCCCTAAACCCATGTGCCACAATGTTCGGATCCATTAACGGAGTGGGGATGATTGGAACCGGTGTGTCGATCCTAGCTCGTAACTTGGAACGACCGTTGGGTGTAGTAGAGCCTGTGCGGCAACATAATAATACTAGCATTTATGGTCCCCGAGGAGACGAGACATGCATCTGATCTAAGTATTTACATAGAGCTCCGATTGTTCTGGAAAAAAAGCCGGCTCTTATCCGCCACATTTTTAGTACACACTCAGTATTACTTACTTTTAAACCCTCACCCCATCACGTAGAATGCAGTTGGAATCCACAGATGTACTTACTGTTGGTTTTTCTTCCGATATGGAATATTTCCAGAAGGGCAAGACGAGAACTCTTGATAATATTCGATATTTATGAACCCCTTGAATTCCTACCATATGGAGTAAAGAGACCCCTAAATTTTTCTTTTTCAGGAGTCATAGCAGTTTTAAACCCGACTGACTGGCGGGTCTTGATGTTCGTCTGTCCACAAAGCCTGAGGTATCCCGGGAATCGTGGGCCATGTTGTTCTGAATCATAAAAAGTAACTTGGTTCAGAAACCCGAGAGGTAGGGTTGTGTGGGGTATGTACTGTACATGTTATGTGTACACATATGTGTGCTCGGGTTGCCGCAAGTAAACGTGAAACGTCCCCCTTTCAAAATTCCGACTTCAACGCCAACGCCAAGACATCGATCAACTGTTAGTCCGTGCTCCTGCACACCTGCCCGGGGGGGTCCTCAAGGGTTCAATGATACGTAGATTACTCTGCTGTTTATCCGAAGATTACCAGGAAGGTAATGGAGGTAACTGCAAACCAGCCACTAGCCATCGTGGTGCTCTACATACTCCTACGTCTCATATGTTGTTCTTTTGAATTTTATTATGATGTGACACCGTAACTCATCCTCCCCCCTCCATCCCGTGTCTCTTGTAACGGCCCAAGCACTGCGGGATGCTTTTGCCTGGTTCCCAATTTTGAGCTCCCTAATTTCTATGCTCGAAATGGACATGAGTTTTGCTTTTTTGTTATGAGTGCAGACGTCTATCTACTCAAGTAGGAATACGAATGATAGACTTCAGAAAGGAGGGTGGCCCCTTAGACACAACAGCTTAAAGACTCAAAGTGGATACATGTAGGTAACCACGTTTGACAGCTGTCTAGGTTAGTGAGCTAGTACAATACCTACAGCCGTTAATTGCATCCCCGGAATATGACAACTACAAGCGCCATTATTCCATCTAACCAAGTTCCTACATGATCACATGTATGTATGTATGTATGTACATACCAGACCCTCATAGTCGCTTAAGTTTATCCTGAGACTTTGGCTTTTGGCAGAACAAATCTACGAATTGCCTTGAGGCATCTTTGTATTGATGGCAATAACTGTAATAGCGGCGCCAGTTTTTGTACTGCATGTAGGCACATATAAAGTAGGCAGTAGCAAGATGTGACAGCCCCCCACTGCTAAACGCCAGAATCTATAAAGCAAAGTACGATCGTATGAGCCTTAGAAAGCAAGATATTAATTTCCCACTGGCCTCACTCATGATGGAAAAAAGGTTCTATTATGCCTATACGTACGCGTACATATATACGCAGTTTTAATATTACTATGTGAATAAAATGTCGCCTCTCCTTAGTAAAGGTTCTGTCCTAAGTGTGAAATCGAGATTTTACGTCGTATAGAGCTGGCGTACTTTGAGCACATGTAGCTACCCTAGTCGGCACCAGGCAATTCCAAATCTGCTTGGTGGATTTCCTGGCCCGTTGCACTAGCCATGCTTGGCAAACTTTAAGCTACCGCAGTACTACATGATTTTTCTAAGGATAAGAATAGTGAAGTACATGTACTGGAAGTGTCTAAGCAACTACATGTACTCAGATTTAATCTACAGCACCAAGATTTCTCATCTATGAAATTCAGGCCATATGAGTTGCCGGCAACCCTCACAAGAGTGTAGAGTTGAGTGAGTTGGATCCAACAGCTCTAGGCTTCCACTCAGAACAACCGAATTCCTAATTTCGAATAGCACATACATGTAGTGTTTCTAGTAATCCACACCGTACGCGATCATATGGGCGGGGTGTTCGGTTAAGCACTAGCTATGCGCCAAGAATTTCATTGGGAGCGCATAGAGTACATTCCTGATATTCCGGTTTTGATGTTTGACATGGAAGAGAGGCACTTGGAAACGGCGCGGTAGGGTATAAGTAATATATTTACAAACTTTCATAGTCATAGTCACAAAATCTCGGTAAAAAGGAGGTTTAGGACTTAAGTTAATAAAGTCCTAAGATTGTTCTCTCTATTGCCTATCTCCGATCATCTGTGGCCGCATACATGATGTCAATCACCTTAAACTTCATGTATTGTGAAGTACGCGTACGGTGAAGAGCTATCAAATAAAAAGTGAGCAGCCGAAGTTCCGTCCATTGGTTGTGGTGATTTCCGAGATGTTCCCTAGCGAGTGATCTGTAGTGATTATGCCAAGACTTCATGGGAATCCGGTACTACTTATATAAGATACATGATGCTCCCAATAGCATAGATACCGGACGGCGAACAATTACAACGCCACAATTAGTCACTTTGTGAGATCTAGACGTGTGTGCTAATATATTGTAGAGCATATATGTAAGGACACATTCGTCATGCTTCCCGTCATTATCACGTATGTAGATACCAAATTGCTTTATGCGATGCCCATGTGCAGCTCGCCCATGTGGCTCTGAGATACTCCAGGGCATTCTACAGTGCGCATTAATTCAAATATATATGTAACTGTCGCAAGCATTGCGGATAGAGTGCGTACTCTACACGTTGTAGGCACATAATGTACATACTATCAATCTACACACGTGGTAGAGACACGTGCTGTGGAAATTATTCATGGGGGTACGAACAGAACCTACAATGTCCTCGCAAGGATTTGTACATGCTCTTGAGATCTGGTCGATACACTGGTATGCTATCATATTCTTCTATCTCTACCACCTTCTACTATTAAAAACTACATAAACTAACGACGAAAGGCAATGTCAAGGTACTCACCAATACAGTACTCCATGGATATCAAGTACAATTCCACCCAGCGTTCAGAGTTATCCGGACTGGGTTACCGGATCGAAGTTTGCCGGCTGTTGATCATGTTGTCAATTCTCCTTTGGTATCAATACCAGTCGGGGCCCCGTAACTTACGAATCAACTTTTTAAATCACAAAAGCTTTGATCGTTCCTGGTCGTCCCGACAATCCAGTCTGATAAGTGAGTATAAGCGAGTAGAACACTAATTCCCCTGTGGCAAGTCCTCTTCTTTTCTTTTTATTGAGCTCATGGGAGGGAAGCTTCATCACAGCTCAGGAGAACTGCACCTCTTACGGCTCATAAATTACTAACTTTATGGTGGGCACAGGGGGTTGGCTGTTTCTAAATGTTATAGGTGGTGCATATATAGGGCATATAAACCATCGCATTGGCCCGTTGGGAAGACGAGCAAACACCCCTTATAGAAAGTACACTTAAGCCTACGAGCCGGAAGCACATAGGCCCCAGTGATATTCGAGATCTTCACATGGCTTAATTTTGTGGCGCTCAGGGGATCTATGCATTTGGCACTCGTATGGTACATCTCTGCCCATCACAGTTATGTCTCAAACGGTGTGAACGTGGCCAGGGAGAGATAGCGACAGACGCTGGAGAGGCGCGCAAGACCAAATGACCGTTGTGGGAAGGGCAATCAAACTGCCCCATGCTCCTGTCGTGTGTTTTTCTTTTCTTTTCCTTTCCAACCTCCGACTTGCATGATATGAGCTCTCAAGCCGCCACACTCACACACCGAAGGGTACGTAGGCATGCTCGGAACGAAGATAAAGCAAAGTTGCTCATACGCATCTCTTTTTATTAAGAAGAGCGCGATGCTTAATACTCCGCGTGAATATAAGACTCTACGGGTCCAGAGGAGAAAGTCTATGTCCTACCCGTTGTATGTACGTACAAGTGGTTTTGTTCTTCAGCAAGGAATAGCGCGGCTGCCAAGCTCTAATAATTAACACTGCTCGGCTATTGGCCAATCGGTTCAACACCTGAGCTCCGCTGCCAACAGGTCCAACTGCCGTCCAACCCGCTAAGATGTTTGTGGCTACGGGCCGTGCACAAAAATCGTTTTTTCAACTAAAGGGAAAAACAATGCTTTTCAAGATGTCGATTCGCGGCGCAATGCTGAGAAGATTGATAGAGTTGTATTTTTGATGGAGCATGCAGGTACTAACTGACTGGGTAGGTACTGCAAGTGATATGCAATTCGTAAACCTGCCAGTAGACTAAAGATATACATAGTAATTGTCGCAAACTAATAGCTATCACGATGTTTATAATTGAAGAATATCTCCGTCGATTACATACATTAATCATTACTTGAAACAGTATGGCACACATGCAGACACATACAAAATTGGCCTGCTAAGAATAAAATCTTCTATGACCGAGGACAATTGTGAAAATGCGGGGAATTAACCTCGGGCTAGTTGCGGTCTGTGTCGAGTAATCCGGGGTATAGATACACAAGTGAGAGCCAGCTCCACCTGAGTACATTACCTGAGATACATATAGTACCTTTGAAACGTTGCGCTGGGTGGGTATCGGTGACATTTCCGACTGCAACTGGAATGAGATGGTGTTTCCTTGTTGATAAACACAATCATGGGAATCGTATTAATGCGGTGGGGTCACTATATTCGGGGAGCCGAATTCTATACCGGATTATTTATTGCTATTTCAAGTATTTGTCAATTGAAACGTCACTTGGATTGTCTAATTACTTAACCAGTCGGTTACGGGTATCACGGCTGCAACCTATCAATATTTGGGCCATATTCTATATACAGTACCGGTATTGTAGGTCCAGGGAAAATCCAGAGCGAATCCGTGATACATGATTGCTAAACCCTACGAATCGTATCGTGCTTTGGAGAACCATGGACAGATATCCGATAATTAAATATTACATATCAAATACCTCGGTGATACCTGCCTGCACGTTTCTGGTGTGATTCTGGAATATCTCTTGGCAGCGGTTGTTTGCACGCCAAGTCCATTTGACATATTTGACTTGTGAAACTTTAATCTGACCGCCAGATATTCCCCGCACCAGTTGCACAAGCAGGGCAGCAAGACACAATGTACACAGTGAACGTCAGAACACAACTTGTGTATTCCTTCACCAGCCTTGCTCTCGCAGAATACATCACCGGTGATAATGGCGCAGGATTCTCCACAACGACCTCCTTAGCCCTCTGTTTAGCCAACTCGCTGATCCAATGTGACCTTAACCCCCCAGGCCACGAGCCCACCCTTGAACCCGGCGGGGAAGGGTCTGACGGACTCTTCTCAATTCGTCACCAAGCCGCCGAGTACATCAGATGGTGGAGAGCGGGCCATTTTTCCGTTTCCCCGGCGCCCAGCGCTCCGGACGGAGCCACCCAGGCTGCATTGCAGATCTGGGAGGAAGGCCTGAGGAGAGGCCGGCCGACAGCCGAGATATTGGAGGCTGTCAGATCTGATCAGCTTCTGGGGCAGCAGGCTCCTCCCACCTCGGTGGTGTGGGTGCTGCCCATTGCGTTGCTGTTCTGGCGCGATACGGCAAAGGCCGTGGAGTTAACGCGGGCCGCTGCGAATGTCGTTATGCCCGCCGCCAGGGACCTGGCTGGGTGGTATGTGTTTGCCGTGACGTCGATCCTGTGGAACTGGGCTGCGAAGAGCAACGTTAGGCTAGAGAAGAGGTGGATGCGCGTAAAGATTGAGGACGAGTACAAACGGCTGAAGCTGGATGGGGCAAGAGGGGCCGGAGATGTCCATAGAGGGGTCGAGATATATATGGAAACGGACACGTTTGATGAGGGGTTGAGTATTGCAAGACGATGCAATCCGCAGGTAGCAATGGCATATGCTGGGATTGCGGCTATCTGGTATGGGGCTGCGGTGGGGGAGGTGGATGGCCGGGCTTTTGTGGGATATGATGTTGTGGAGGAGCTTTCTGGGGCGATTGGGACATTGGCAAAGGAGATGGAGAAAAAAGATGATGATGATACGCAGATGCTTGCTTCCAGTATCCCGCTGGACGATGAGTATGATGGGATGATTTAGTTTATATTTACATATAATTAGAATATATATCCTTTAGGTAAGCGGTGTTTTTTGAAGGCGTAGAATATACTATGTAGACAAGGAGGAGGAAGGAGTATAATTTACTGGGGATATACAGAAAGCTCCCATTAACCAACCTGAGAGGGCTGAAAAATCCCTTTAATTGAGAAGATGGGGGATGGGAAGTGGATTGAAGTCCCTTATGGGCTCTTGATAGGCAGCGGAAGGGCTATCACGACTTGAACTAAGTAAACAACATGCGCAGAAACTTACGGTCGTTAGGTGAGAACATGTACTAGTGTCAAGATTGTAGTTGGAAATCCAGCTTCAGGTTTGTAGGGTTAGGGGCCAAAGTTGGAGGGTGGTCAAACACAAGGCACAACTGAAAGCATCCCCCGCACGACAGACCTAGCGTTCTAACCTAACCCGTAAGCCACGCGGCCTTTTGTGTTTACCATCCACTCCAGAACCTACTCTACCAGTAGTCCCGCTAGTATCATCGTGCGAATCACTGCCAATCTAAGTTTGGAATCTTGTGCTTCAACCATACACCACAGTTTTCCAATTGTAAGATAAAAAATATTTCACACACTATTTGGTACATACTTTTAAACATTCAGGCGCATATTCTAAAGATATTTCTATTCTCTCCTCCTCCTCTTCCTCAATCCTCATTCCCAAAGTACCCAGTCCCCAAAAATAATCTTCTACCAATATTATCGCAAAAAAAAAACGTCATAACGAAAAACATCAAAAGAAAACAAGGACCGGAAACAGAGAGAAAAAAATAAACCCCGTCTATTTCCCACCGGACCCCCAACCAACCATCCTACACAAAAAGATATAAAACGAAAAAAGAAAAGAAGAAAAAACGGAAAGAAAAGAAAAATATTTATTTCCCACGTCTATAGAGCCCCCGTATCCCAAACAAGCAAACCAGTAAATAGTAAACAATAAAAGCAATCGTTTCTTCGTGCCGATTTTGACTTTTCCTTTTTTTTTTAAAAAACCCGCTGTCGTATTAGCTGCCTATAATAACACTGACAATCCGACACTTTAATCGGCCTCATCGTCGGTATCGACAGGCTTGGGGGTACCCTTGGGGCTGTTAAGCCATTCAAGGTACCTCAATCTCCTCCTGACCTCCCTCTCCTTCAACTGCGCCCTAGTGAACTTCTTCTTCTTTGACTTCCTCTGCTTGAACTGCATGTCACCGGTATCCTCAGCATCACTGTTGACAGCGCTGTTAACAGCACTACTTTGAGCACTGCTGACGGCACTGCTTCCGGGCTGCGAGTCAACTGGGGCTGCAAGAAGAGCTCCATTGACACCCTTCTTGATCATACGACCAGCTTCGATGTGCCATTCCTCGTTGGCAAGGGAAGAGACGAATTGAGCGTCGTGGGAAATGAGGCAAACACCACCACGGAACTCCTTGATTGCAGTTGCAAGTGCACCGAGTGACTCACGATCAAGATAATTGGTCGGCTCGTCCAAAATGAGCAAGTGGGGTTTCGGCCACATAGCGGCGGCGATAACGACTTCAAATTGTTAGTTGAATTCTTCAAAGATTAGAGAGACTGAGACCAACCTTTAACTTTCTGTCCACCGGATAGACCGCCAATCTCATTGTTCATAGCGATATCAGCTGGCAACCCAACGTCTTCGAAATGCTTGCTGATACTGGCCACATCCAACTCTCTGTAACCCATACCCTCTCTCGCACTCTCCGCATCGTCGAAGTCCTGCACAATCTTGCCGAACCCATTTTCCAACAAGGTTTCTCTTGAGATCATGTTGTTATACTTGGTTGGAAGCCCGAACCATTTAACCTCGTACTGGAAACTCTTCTTCCACTTCTGCCTACCAATCAAAGCCTCAATTTTCTTTGGTCCACTCCCATCACCAAGATCAATAGGCTTCTCGAGCTGTGCCTTATCTTCATCAGAAAGGAGACGCGTATCCTTCATTGAAACCTCCTTGTCCACACCAGCCGCGAAACGCCATTGCAAGTACTGAGACGGGGTCTTGTCAAGGTTCATAGACACGTGGTGGAGCGACTGCTGCGCCATGTATCCAACACGCAAGTTAGGATGTTTTTCGACTTTGCCCTTCTGCGGTACCATTTCACCGGTAAGGATTTTGACGAGAGTAGATTTTCCAGCTCCGTTGGCGCCGATAATAGCAACACGGGACGAAAGCGAGAGAGAGCAAGTTATATCATATAACGAGGGCTTAGGGGTATTGGGGTACGTGTACGTGACGCCAGTCATCTTGATGATTGAACGGGTGTTGGACTTCACTCCAGTAAGAAGCCCAGGAGGGGGGAAGAAGAATTTAACGGAAGAAGCATCAAGTGTGTAGTAGGCTTTTCCTTCGGGGCGGACTTTGACAAATCTATATGGTGGTTAATATCAGTAAAAAAAGAAAGAAAAAAATGCTATTCAGGTCAAGGTGAACTTACTCGGAAAGATTCCCCTTATAATAAACAAGCTTTTTCTCCTCGTAATGGATAATATCCGTGCAAACAGCGTCCAAAAATCGGGAGTCGTGGGACACAATCAACGAAGTAATGTCGGTATGTGTCTTGAGATAATCTTGCAACCATTTGACGTTGTGAACATCCAAGTGATTAGTAGGTTCGTCCAACAGAAGTACCTCTGCACGCTTCAACATAGCCTCCGCAAGTGCCAACTTCATCTTCCAACCTCCGGAGAGCTGTCCGACCATCATACCAGCTCTCTCACCCTCAAAACCGACACTGCGTAGAGTCTCCTTAATCTCGTCTTCGGAATGACCGGTCTCACCGGCATCACGGAGAGCGATCTGGATATACTCAACGATGCTCATGTCACGCTCCTCAGTTGCCTTGTGCTCGACAAAGCAGGTTCTCAACTCATCCTTGGAAGGAAATCCTTCAAGTTTGCCCTCGCTGATAGAACGCATAAGTGTCGATTTACCGGCACCATTACGTCCGCAAAGCCCATAACGATGACCTTTGTAGAGTTTTAAGTTCGTGTGGTTAAGCAACATCATACCACCATAGGCAAGGGAGAACTCGGCATTGACAATCTCAACCTCGGTGTTACCATCGTCCTCAACAACACCGTCACCAAAACGCTTTAAAGTCTCCTCTTTGGCCCAGTTTTCCAGATCGGCTGCAATGTTCTTAGCCTCCGCCTCGCCATCCTCAGCCGCGACAATGTAGCGAAGATAAGGCTCGGCACAGTTGTGGATGTGCTTCCATTCCCGAACGACGATAGCTTCTCTGAGCATACTGGCTACGTATTTACGAACGCCTTTGTTTTCCCATGTGTTGATCTCGGTTTCTTTGATGTGGCATCGACCATTAAGTTGTGCCTCGACATCCTCAACCGAAATACGCTCGGCGGTAGATTGGTCGACGCCAACCGCACCACTCTTCATCGCCTTCTCCATTGTGTCATTCGCGCTCTTAGCTAGAGCACGAACGACGGGCAAACTGGCGGTGTCTTCGATACGCTTTACACCGGGCTGAAGACGAGGAAGAAACTCGCGAGCCTCGACAGGGTCATGGACAAGCTTAGTCAAGTTTTCCACGACGACCACGGTTTGACGAAGAACATCCTGAGAGGTTTGAGGAGATGTGAGGGATCGCTCAAGAAGTGGTGTGAGAAGAGAAAGCACGGGAGATGTGACAACAGCAATAAAGGTTGTTTGACTAGTGATTGTTAGATAGAACTTTTTGACATAATAAATTGGAGAACAAACCTGAGGTCGTGAATAGCTTTTTGAAGAGTTTCCTTAGAGGGTTCCTTCATAGTCTTGACCAAAGTAGGGATGTGTTTGGCGACATCATCGTTGCTAAGTAGCTTACTCAAACTAGTCATTGTCTTGACGGCGGCGCCAGAAACCTCTTTCTTGAGGTCGTGCATGCCACTCTCGACAACGGGAATGAGCTTCTCAAGCTCACGGCCCATGACCTCCTTCAAAAAGCCATCTCTCGCAGCAGCCTTCTCTGCAACCTTTCCAATCTGTTGCAACGCCCCAACACGTCCTTGCCATTTTGCACCAGGGCTCTTCAGATATTCCATGATAACACGGACGAGCCCAACAACAAGACCCTCCTCCTTTAGCAAGGCAAAAATGGCATCGATAGCATATTGCGCACTCTCGCGAACAACAGAACCTTTGTCGGCCAATCCATCAAAGACATTTGCAAGGGTCGACTGAAGCAACAAAATCTCGGTCATGGGAGACTTTACTGGAAGTGACTCGTACAAAGCGCCGTAAACAATCATTGCGGACTCCCGGTTGGTGCCAGATTTCTTATCATTGGCGGCCTTGGCGAGTGCGGGGACTAACTGATCCAAATAGTGGTGTGCCACCGCCGGGTTGGCGGTAATGGCCGAGCACAAGGCAAGAGAAGCATCTAGGGAACCCTGTGATGTTTTCGCTGTAAATACAGCAGCGAGACTGGAAGGAATATCGAGGTCGAGCGATAAGGAAGCCATCGAGGCGTCGAGGACTCCGGGCATCTGGCGGAGCAAAAACTTCAGGGGAAAGATCGACGGTCAAAAAGACTTTTAAAAAGCGAAAGTAGGGAGTCTCCGGAGATATCAGAGTATATACGGGAACTTTATTTGTACAACTGGAATACAAAAAGCTTCGTTCAGATGGCGCAGGAGGACACAACAGAAAACTGAGGGGAGATTTGGCGAATCAAGCGCCTAGAGGAGGGGGCCTCTGTAAGCTATCTGGATTTCTGAGGGGAAGTGGGCAGCAGAGAACTCTGACTGCGGAAGAAGGAGAGGGGAGAGGTGAGAAGAAGAAGGGAGGAGGGGAGGAGAGGGAGAGGGAGATAGCAAGAGAGCAAGGCTGAGTGGAGATGTGTCTTCTAAAGAAAAGAAAAAAATGAAGTCTAGAAGGATAGGAAGGATAGGAAGGACATGAAGAGGGGGAAACTTTTGCGCCAAGGTTTTCACATGGGGCTAGTCCACCCGTCTCATAGCCCAAATCCCTATCACTGATAGGCTATTTTTGGTTACTAATCCGAACAAGAGCCTCACTTGGCTGGCAGGTGGCGTCAAGAAGGAATCTCACTGGGCATAGCCATACAGAAGTACATGTATGTAAGCAGTAAGCAAAGCCAACCCTTTGATATCACCCACCGCAGCGTAAAAAGAACCCCTTATTGACATGGCAGATACATACGTGTACCCGGCCCTGTTACTGGATCGTCCCAGCAATCTGCGACTGCAAAAGGTCTGCTCTAATTGCTGCCAAGACCACATGCCAGCTACATGTACCTGGGTCCACTCGCCGATAACCTTAAAACAGTCCGATTAGCCCTTATCGCGATCAGATAAGAGTGCCTCTTACGATATGGGCATTCCCCTGGGAGATCGACGTCCCGAAGGAAACTTTTATCAAGCAAGGATGCCTTTTTCCACCTGCGTTGTCTGTGTTGTGTATCCTGCGTTCAATTAACCTCAAAATTATGTATGCATTTAAGTACCATCATGATATCTCACTCGATATATACACACATTCGCCTGCAAGAAATCTTGAGCAGTTATTGCAGCGGATCCAATTCCCCATTGTGGCGCGTGTCATCTAAATCAGTTTAGTAAGAGGGCTCAATGCAGACAAGCGGTGTAGGTTTAGAAACGTAGCCGAAAAGCGGGCGGGCCGGAAACAGGTGGCCAGAAAGGGCTGACTTTTGGCTTTTTCTTCTCTTCATAATTACATTGGTTTTTATTATTTTCATTACGGTTGCATTAGTTCGTCGAGAAGGATCAAGACGTGAATACAAACAGCAGCCAACAACGTTAGGCAGAGGGCAATAAATTCGGGCTCCGAACTAAAGTACACTTGTGAGTGAGCTTAATGAAATATCCTTAGGTTCTTGCTGCTACTCTTTCGGCTCGACTTTTCTGTTATTACGTCGATATATTTCTTTTTTGCTCATATGTCACTACATTGCTATTAGTAGGTGATTGCAATTATGCCATCAGCACGCGGAGATGAACGAATTAAACTAGACGTCATTACACTCCTCGCATATATATAGTTAAGCCACACATAAGCTTACCTCTAAACACCTTCTTTCCCGCTATTGATTCGAATTTTTGAAACTCACCACCAAGATTTTCGTTGCAACCACGTTACACGAAGCCAAAAGTCTTTAACACTTAAGCTTCAACCACCTACACGATGCCAAGCCCCACCCAGGACATGATAAATGTCATGGACAGTCTTCGCCTCGCGGAACTGGATGAGGATGTCCTCTGCATACACAACTCCAGCGTCCTCGCCACCCAAGCTGCTGAGCTGCTTGCTCACGAAAGCACCTCCCACCTCGAGAGACTTCTCTTAACAATCACCATCGGCATCGTCAACCAAAACGCGATCCTCATTCGCCAGTTGGAAGAGCTCACAGAAGAGCATGAGAAAACTGCCTCCCAACTTACCACTATTGGCAATAAAGTGGACAGGGCACATGACCGCATTAGTGCCCTCCCTAGAGCCGCCCCATCCCCACCGACACCACAAGTGACCACCCCCCCCAGAAACCCCCCCGCTGCACAACAGGCCCAGCGACCCACCCAACCACAACCCCGCCCCCAACAACAGCCTGCCAACCCCCCCCAGTCCGCTGCCAGGCCGAACAGAACCGTCCTCCAGCCGCAGACCCGCTCATATGTCCAAGCTGCCCAAGACACCCTCCACCAATGGCAGCAAGTCCCTCAGAGACGCACCCCCACCAAGAAGCCCAAAGCAAAAGAACCAGGGCCAAAAACCCTTCCCGCCGTCCAACGCCGCTTTTTCGCCACCAGACAAACACCCGAACCCATCGAATCTCCGGAAACACTGGCCGCCGAGCTATCAGTTACATTCGGAAAGTTCATGGCTTCCCAAAATCAAGTCGCCCCAGTCACCGCACTCACCGTTACCATCAACCAGAGAGGAGCCGTCACCGTCCTCCCAGCCCCCACCGTCCCCTCATCAGTCTATGCCCCTTTCTTTGAAGCTATGACCGCAATCCTAAATAATAGGGTTAACGCCGAACACAACCCCTTCAATAACTTCAGACCCGCTCCCACAGATGTGGACATTGCCATCCACGGAATCCCCCTCTTTGACCTTAAGACAAAAGAGGACCTGAACGCCAAGTTCCCCGAGATCTTCCTCCTCGCCTCCGGCATCGCCCCGATCGCAACTCGCTTCCTTCACCCCAACGACACCGAACGCAACAGCAGGAAAACATCAACCGTTGTAATCACAGTCTCGGCAGCCGACGCCACCCTAATCGGCCCCTCAATCCGCATCCTCTCCAGACCTCGCAAATGCACAGTCATGTGGTCCGCCTCCCCCATCACACAATGCAAGAAGTGCTACAAATTCGGACACCCTGAACAAGGCTGTAAACAAGAACACCACACTTGCCCCATCTGCGCAAAAAACCACACTAAACAGGAACACACTTGCCCCGCCAACTGCAACGGCCGCCGCTACGACAATCTTGGATGCTGCGCAGCAGTACGCGCTAAATGCGTAAACTGCGATGGCACCCACGCCTCAACCTCCAACAACTGCCCAGCTCTCACAGCCCTTATTGAGAACAATAGACCCAAGAGACCAGCCGCACCAACCACCCCAGCCCCAGCCACCAACCAGTCAACCACTGAATCGCCTGAAACACCCATGCCGGATGCCAACTCAGCTGCCCCATTCACCCAAACTGCTTAATCAATGAGCACCACGCCTAAAGAAAACCCTTCGCTACGCATCATACAACACAACTGCAATAACAGCAATAATGTTCTCATCTCCCTCTTCGCCATTCCCATGGTACAAACAGCACATGCGATCGCCATTCAGGAAACCCCACTATTTAAAGGGAAACCTCTAGCGGTCCCCGCCTTCACAGCAATATACCCTACCCCCACCTCCACAGACGACAAAATTTCTGTCTGCACCTATATAAACAACAACTTCCTACAGAAAAACTCATTTGCAAGCCCCCCCTCCCATAGAGGAGACATCATATCCGTCAACCTGTTCTGCCGCACCGGGCCCAACACATACACAACAATAACACTCACAAACTGCTATAACAGACAGCTCAGAGATGGGTCTCGGTCAATCCACCCCCTCACTATCCTACCCACCTCGGACAACCCAGCAATCACTGTCGGAGACCTAAACATTCATAACCCCGCAACCGACCCCTCCAGAAACTTCTCAGCCAAGGAACTCAGACTCTCCCAACCATACATGGACACCGCCAGCCGAGCAGGCTACTCCATCCTCAACACCCCCGGAACCTATACGAGAATCTCCCTCAACCAAGCACATAGAAACGGAGTCATCGACATAGCTTTCTCCAACCACAGAGCCACGCCGCTTGTCAGGAAATGGCTCCCCCTCTCCAACTCCTCGGGCTCCGACCACAGAATCATAGCTATCTCGCTTGCCCTTCCAAACGCAGACTTCGCCCCCTTTACCACCCCAAACTGGGCGCTAACCAACTGGAACCTCCTCTCACCCGCTCTCCAAAACACCCACATCCCCGCCTGTGACACCCCCTCCATGCTGGATGACTGGTTCGATAAATCACTTACCCTCATCACAGACATGGTCAAGCAACACACACCCCCAAAAACCATCTCAAAATGGTCAAAGAAATGGTGGACCCCGGACCTCTCCCAGCTCCGAACCATCTTTCACTCAATACACAGAGCATTTAGAAAAGGCAGAGCCCCCCCCTCAGAGATGAAGGCAGCACGCAACGCCTATTTTAATGCCATAAAGAAAGCAAAACAAGACCACTGGAATGCCTTCATCGCCAACGCCGATACAAAGGATGTGTGGAGACTGAAGAAAATGGCCAACAGGACGGAAGATAAGATTCCCACCCTCCCAAACTCACCCACCCCAACCCTCCTCAACAACAACCTCATCAACGCCTTCTTCCCCCCTCGACCAGAAGAACCCTCCCCCTCCCCCATCCACTTCCCAAACACCCCCCTCATTACGCCCAATGAAGTTCAAGCCACACTGGGCCCCACCTCCAACCTCTCAGCACCCGGCCCAGACACCATCCCATACTCAGTATGGAAAGGCATCCACAGAGCCAACCCCCGCATAATACCTGCCCTCCTCAACCCGCTCATCCAACATGGATACCACCCACTCTCCCTCAAAACCGCCAATGGAGTAATCCTTGCTAAACCAAATAAACCGGACTACTCCTCCCCCGCCGCATACCGCATAATCGTCCTCCTCCAGACCTTCTCCAAGATCCTGGAAAAAATAATAACTCTCCGCCTGGCCGTGATAGCGAAGGCCGTAGGACTCCTCCACAACCACCAATGCAGGTCAGTCAGCGGCTTGTCCACTGGAGACGCAGTCACCACACTCATACACGAGGCCAGAGCCATGCAGCTGGCCAAGCTTAAAGTCTCCACCCTCTTTCTAGACATCAAAGGAGGCTTTGACCATGTCCTTAAACAACACCTAGCCTCCACCCTCTCAGAAAAACACACCCCCCCCTACATCACGAACTGGGTCCTCTCTTTTCTATCCGACCGCTACATTACGCTGTTGTTTAAAGGATCCCTCAAAATCCCCACAGCCGTCCAAGTTGGAGTCCCACAAGGATCCCCAATATCACCACTCCTTTTCCTTATCTATATTAATTTCCTCCATCAATACGACCCCGCCCCCGGCATCTCACTCTCCTATGTAGACGACCTGGCCATTACAGTGGCCTCCCCATCGTATAAGGAAAATATCGACATACTCCAGACCCACTATAATAAACTTACAGCTCTGGCCTCCCCCAAGAATGTCACATTCTCGGTGGGGAAGACGGAGCTAATGCACTGGAGAACCCCACGCGATAAGTCCCCCACCTCACACCTCCCAATAACCCTGGACGGCCAAGCCTTCCAGCCCAGCCCCATAGTACGATGGGTCGGATATTGGCTCTCCCCCAACTTTAACCCCAACGCCCACTTCATCAGAAGAACGGCTGCCGCGAGAGCAGCCTTCGGCATTCTCAACCGCTTCTCCTCAGCAGGAAAAGGCCTATCACCCGCAAACTGCAGGAAAGTAGCCCTCCTCGCCATCCGTCCCATGCTCACTTACGGAGCCAATGTGTTCACCCCAACATCAGCGCTCCGAGAAATGAATACCTTCTGGAATGCAGTCCTCAGATGGACAACGGGCTGCTTCAGAGCCACCAATAACCGCGTCCTATGGGCAGAAGCAAAAGCCCCCCCCCTAATACTATACCTCCACTTCCTAAAGTGCAAATTCGCCATTAGGATCCTCCGAGCCTCCCCACTTGCAAACCCAGTAACGGGAAGAACAGACCCCCACTTCCCCACCACCCTACGAGACCGATCCTTCTCACACACCGCCCTCCTCAAGGGCCGACCCAACCCACCAAAGAAATGGAACTCCAGAGCGAAGAAAGGTGTAGCACATACACCTATTGAACACCTCTGCTCCCTGCTCCTCCCCCTGATCGAGGAAGGCGTAGACCAAGGCAAGATGGCCCATAGAGCCAAGCAACAACTGCTGGATAACTGGCGTACCCATTTCCCAACCCCGACCTACTACACACACAGATTAGATACATCCCCCCTGGCCTTCACGCACCTTCACAAGTTCATCGCCACAAGAATCCACCAAATAAGATCAGGGAAAAGCTACCTACGAGCACAGCAATCCTGGATCAACCTACACACCTCGCCCAAATGCCGGAAATGTGGCCTCGAAGACGAGACCCCCGACCATGCCATACTACAATGCAACGCCTCTGCACTCACCCGCTCCCAAACCTTAGAAGGAGTTACATCCCTTGAAGAAATTTGGGATAACCATACCCTTACCCTCCTACTAGGGGCCTACATCACCAAAACCAGAACAGGCTACCCGGTCAGCCGGGGACCCTCACCACTCGAGTCAGGCTCAGGAACCTCATCCCCCCTCAGCTCAGTCTCCTCCTCCTCTACGTCATCAACAGCAATCATGGGCCCAATACCCACAGTCTACGTGTCCTAGCAAAGTCTCACTGAGAGCATGAGGCCAATGGCCAGAAGGATTTCACAGGGAAAGGCAACTAGCCCTCCCTCTAAATTGTTCATTGTTATTTATATGCGTTTATCTTTCTTTTGTTATATTTTATTTTTGGAATTTTGTTTTTGCTTTATATTAGGGGACGAGTTATAAGTTTGGTTAGGGGATAGGTTTCTTTACGCCATAGTTTATACTTTACGCGATCATTGTGTACCTAGAAACAGAAATTGAAATGATTTAAAAAAAAAAAAAAAAAAAAAAAGCTTACCTCTAAAACGACGTCAACAAAACCGAGTAGACAACTTTTTCGGCACCGCTCACTCTCGCCCGGCCTCGTACAAGGTCAGCGGCCCAACCCGATCGACATCGCCAATACCAACACACTGAAGCTGCGAGTGATATACTGTGATTATCAATAATATCCACCGAATTAAGCGCCTCGTAAGCTAACTACAATAAACAAAATATAGACACCTTAATTCCGCGTACCAGGCACCGAAATAAATAAAAGGAATAGCCCGCTACAGTCCCAAAAAACCCAAACCCAGACCCATTATAACAATTACCATCCACCACTCACACCCCCACCTCACCCCAGACGAAACAACATTAAACGACAACCCCCTCGTCACTGTTGTGCTTGTAGCCGGGCTCGTGATCGCAGCCACCACGGTCGTAATCACTATAACTGTTTGCGAGCCCGGTCCCGACATCCCCGATGTTGATTGTGTAGCCGTGGATGTTAGCGTTATTGTTGACCTTGGCGGTTCCTGCTGTTGCGGGGCTGTTGTAGTGGTTGTTATTATTATAGGCATACCTCGAGTCGTGGTAGGGTCTGGAGGGTCCGGCGTAGGCGTAGGCACATCCGTTGGCACCGGCACGGGAGCCGACGTCTTCGACTTCACCCTAGTTGCCGTCGTCGTCGTCGTCGTCGCCGCCGCCGCCTCCGTCGTCCCGCCTATCGGCACTACCGTCAAAAGGGTCGTCAACGACGGCACCTTAATATTCCCAAGCCACAAATCAGCACATATATCCCTCCCCCACGGCGCAAGTGCAATGCAATACATACCTCCCCGATGCTCCCCCCGCCGTTCGGCAGCTGGTCACACCCGACCCTGATGTGCTCCTCGCACACGTCGTTCCTGTATGCCTCACACCCGAGGCGGCCCGGCTCGTTGCCGGCGACGGCGGCGAGGCAGTCGCGGAATGCTTGCATGCATTGGTCGTAGACTTCGCGGCAGGCGGTTTTGGAGGCGAATTCTTGGGGGAGCACGGGGAAGGGGAAGGGCGCGACTTGGGCTAGTGCGGTGTTGGGAGGGGCGAACAGTAGGAGGTATATGAAGAGATAATAGATGAGGTGGGTTCGTGGTGTTGAGGTTGGATGCGTGGTGAGGATGGTGGAGTTTGGTAGCATCGTGGGATATGGTGGGTTGTAGGGTGGCCAGGACACATTCGAGGTGAAGGTAGGGACGTAAGTAAATGATGGTATATACTGATATGTTTGGTGATCCTTAGTAAAAATTATAATCTTCACGGTGGTTGATTAGATAGGAAACGAAAAGCACGTAAGGAAAAAGCAGAATAGTAAGTGAGTGAGAGAACGGACGCTGGACCAAGAGTTTCCTAGCCAGCCAGCTAGCTAAGGATCAATCGGAGTTCGGAAAGTGCAGATGATGGAACAATATAAGCTCTTCAGATATCCCACACATCCCTACAGAAGCTGAGACAGTATGCACGATCTGTGTGACTGTATCGTGGGGTATTCAATAGAGTACTGCAAAAACCTTGAATTGCAAATAGCTAGGAGGGGGTGACAAGACGGACGAAACGGTTTTTATCTTGTCCTTGGTAGAATAATAGGTGTTGCGTCGTGACGTGAAGTATGTAGATTTCGAAAGCTCGGTGGTTTTTTCTTTCCTTTTCCCTTCTCCCCCAGCTTGGCTGCTTTTTTTGCAACAATGATTGAGTTTGCGGGTTTTTGCATCCACGTTGGTATTTATACTTGCAAGTATACTTATACTTATGCTTGCGCACATGTGCGAGTATATATTAACCGTTCAGAACGTGCTCTTTGCTCTCCGGACCGAAAGCTTAATCGCCCACACTTGCTGTATGTAGCTGGCCATCTTCCCGCATCCCCATATTACTTACAAACCGCGCTTCCAGAACGCGGAGCTTATATATCCATCTATACCGACAAATGGCCATTCGTCCAAAGGAAGGGGGGAAGGCATGATCTCTGCTTCTTCGACATCAAGTGTTTGCGTTACTCGTTACTTGCTGTAACTCCTAGTTGGAAGTCTGCGACGCCCCCGGTGTTTCATCCCTGACATTGAAGTCAATGCCATCCCCGATCATTTTTTTTTTACCGACTAGACTACCAGATGCGGTGTTTGCTTATTTCGGGAGAGCCCTTGCCTTTGCCGTCTCCCAAGGAAACGGTAACTCCTATCTGGTCCAGGGGTTAGTTGGTGGAGCTCTGCATCGATAGCTGCCTAGTTGAAGTAATTAGTAGCTACGGTTAGTACTGGTGGAGCTTCCTGATGACAACATCTTTCGTTTTGCGAGCTGCTACTGGGCTACATGTTTCCTGCCAGTTGAAACGGACGTTTGCCTCTATCAAAACATCTGCGCACATGTGCTGCTCAGAGATAGCTGCCCCAGAAGCGAATTCAAGCTGTAGGGGTTTTTTTTTTTTTTGGGGGGGGGGGGGGGGGTTGATTCGAGGTTGGACCCTGCCTCCGCCTAACCCCATCTGGCTAGACGCCACCTCTTGGCAGCGTAAGATCACGTGCGATTGCCCCCCCCGCGCCGTGTGTCGAGCTCATGCTCTCGCTCTCGCTCTCGCTCTCGCACCTCCTCCTCCGCCTCCGCTGGTGGGAGAGTCTCAGCCTCGTCTCTGCCGACATCTGAACATCGCCTCCCCCCCCCCAAACAGCAGCATAGACAGCAGCTAGTTACCCAAGTACATACCTACCCCCCCCCTCACCCCTCCTCTCCCACTCCCACCCCTCCCCCTTTCGAGGTGTTTGGAAGCTGCCAGTAAACTACTCGGAAGAAGAAGCCCTGAAGCCCTACCTGTGCTCGCCTCACGATCACTCAGCAGCTCGCGTGCGTGTGATATCCGGGTGGCGGCAGTCGGGTCCGTTCGTTGTTTGCTAATAACGACATTCTTTTTTCTCTCTCTCTCTCTCTTCACCTCTCTCTCGTTTCTGTTCTATGGTGGTTTCACCGGGGACTCCTCTCACGTCGTCGTCTTCTTCTTCTTCTTCTTCTTCTACATTACCTATCTACTTACTTAAAACTTAATATTATTCGATCGGCCGTGGAAAGTCGAGGCTCTGCTGGTTGCAATTTGGTGACATCGCTCGGCATACCTCATTTGCAATTTGAGAGGTGCTGTAATTATTTATTACACAGAAACACCCTTCCACTTCCAACCCACCCGTCAGCCAGCCAGCCAACGGACCTCTTTTTCTTCATCTATTTCTCGACTGGAAATTAGGGGGCCCGCTTACCTTTCTATCTTTCCTCCCTTCCACCCCCCCTCCTCCTTCTCCGACACCTTATATTTCCTTCTCCCTTCATCCATTCATACTCTTCTACCCCCCCCCCCCCCCCCCCCCCCCAAACATCTACCTCGGGAAACAAAAGCTACCCAGCTACCAGCCGCTATATATAGCAGTAGCAGCTAGCTAGCGATAAGACCCACCACTCACTACCAACCATGGACACCCAAACACAGACACAGACCCAATCGCACCCAACCCAACCCCGCGACCTCCCCCCACTCCCACCAGGCATCCGCCCCCGCCCCATAAGCAACGCCTACCGCCCCCCCGCCTCGAGCACCACCCGCCGCCCACGGCCCCCGCCGCCGCCCCGCCAGACCAGCGACATCGTGCTCCCGCCCTGGCAGCCCGACTCCAGCGTGGCCAATTGCCCCATCTGCAGCTGCGGCTTCACGTTCTTCAACCGCAGGCATCATTGCCGGTATATACCTACTGCTGACCGACTGACTGACCGATTGTGGGCTAACGAATCGCGGGGCTGGATGTAGGAAATGCGGCCGCGTGGTGTGCCAGGGATGCTCGCCGCATCGTATCACGATTCCGAAGGCGTTTGTGGTGCAGCCGCCGCAGAGCGCGGGGTGCTCGCAGGGACTGGTGCCGGTGGTTGTTGGGGGAGGCGGTGGCGGCGGGAGCAGCAGCGGAAATACTCGGGCCCATAGGGCGTCGTGGAGCCCTGATGGTAGTCCGGCGCTGTTAGTGAGACAATCTAGTGATAGTGAAGACGATGGACTGCTTGTGAGGATGTGTGATGAGTGCTTGGGGCCTCATACTAGGGTATTGTCACCCCCGCCTAGTAGATATGGAAGTATGAGGGAGGACTAACCGCCGTCAGCTACAGACGCAGCAAAGCTACCGCACGCATCCGCACATCAACTACAGCCACCCGCGCACCCCGCAGACCCCCACCGCATACCACAACTCCCTCCCCTCCCGCCGCCCGCCACACAACTACTACCCCGTCCCCCCCCGCCACGGCGGTGGCGACCTCTTCCAACCGCCGCCCCAGCAGCACCTGAAAGAGACCGACTACTGCCCAATATGCACGTCCGCCCTGCCCCCCATCCGCGCCAACGGCTCCGAGGAGGACCGCGAGGCCCACATCCAGAACTGCATCCGCCAGGTGGAACACAGCGTCTCCCCCGGCGGCGGCAGCGCGCCGAGCCGGGTCGGCAGCGGGAGTGCGCCGGGGCCTGGAGCGCTCGGGAGGACAAGGAGGTATACGGGGGGTGGCAGAATGGTCGTGTGGAAGGCGACGGAGAAGGATACGTGGGCGAGTGTGGACGACGATGAGGTTACGCCGAGTTCGACGCCGGTGCAGACGCCGATTATGACGCCGGCGCCGGGGACGGTGGCGGCCGAGGACTTGACGGAGCCGGCGGAACTGACGGAACCGGCGGAGGTGGAGGTGGCGGAGGTGGCGGCGGAGGGGAGCGGAAGTGGGTCCGGGGAAGTCGCGGCGCCGGCGGCAGAGGGGAGTAGTGCCGTGAGTGAGGATGAGAAGCAGCCGCCGAAGAGGCAGGTGAAGAGGGAGAAGGCCGAGTGCGTCATCTGCTTTGAGGAGTTTGAAGAGGGCGACATAATTGCGCGGTTGGAGTGCCTGTGCCGGTATCATAAAGTGTGTATTATTGAATTCTTTCTCTAGGGAATGTGCTCTAACTGACTCTGGTAGAAATGTATCCGCGCATGGTTTGACCGACGAGGTAATGGGGAGTGTCCGGTGCATGCTGTGCACGAGTAGTTTTTTTGCGGGGTGCGAGTAGAATAGAGATACTAGTGGCGCTATAGCTAGATGGCCTTCTATTATCACCTGGCTGTAGAAAGCGCAAACGCAGCGTTGGAGTTAGATTCGGTGGAGTTTATTGTTTGATTTGATTTTTCTCTGCTTTTTCTTCCTTTTTTGCTTCTCTTGCTTGCCTGGTGCGGTCGCTCCTTGGTGTTGCAGGTGTGATTGTGATTCTAACGAAAGTAGCCAGTTAAGGCGGTCAGTGTACTGTGGTGTGGACGTTGGGGTGTTGGCTTCGTATCTTGATCTCTGTTTCTTCCTCTACTACTTCTACTACTGCTACTATTCTTCTCCCATCCTCCTCCTCCGCTTCTACTTGCTCAACTGCGGTGTGGATTGCTCATTGCCGGTCGGGTATGTTTTCCTCTCACTACTTCTACTATTTCCTCTACCCTTTTCCTACTCTTCTTCTGTCATCTCATCTCACGGCGGGGATCTGTCTTTTTTCCTTTCTTCTCGTTCATTTTTTTCTCTCTCTCCCGTTTCTATCTATGGCTCGGTTTTCTGGTTTGGTTTGGTTTGGTTTGGTTTTCTGGTTCGGGTTCGTTTTTTTCCCTTCTGGTTTGGTTTGGTTTTTAGTTTGGTCGCTCTCTCTCTCTCTCGAGACTTGTGGGTTGGTTTTGTTTCGTTACATAAAGTGCTGTGTGCTGTGCTGTGGGGGTGTGAGATGTGGTGTGAGATGTGGAGGTGTGGGGGGTGTGGTGTAGCTAGTTTGAAATATAAAGGATGGTTTGGCAGTTGCTTGTGTTGGAGTGAGTGGTTGTGAGTGTGGTGTAGTCGGGAGCGGTGTCAACGATCTATGTAGGCTGCGGGCTGCGGGCTGCGGGCTGAAGTTAGGTTGTGGTGTGGTGTGGTTGCGTGCGTCATGGAGTATCACTCGGGCGAATTCTGGGTGGTGGCGGCGTTCAAGGATTGATTGATTGATTGATTACCTATGGTGTTCAAGGAAGGTAGAAAAGGTGAGAGATTGAGCTTGAGCTTGAGGTGTTACATGCAAAAGCTTCCTTACATTTTTCATAAGCTCCCGTGTATGTGGGGGGCTGATGTTCACTGGGACATTACAGATTTCAGAGGGTACGTATAGTTACCGAGGGGGTAAGAATATCTACGGTAATAGCACTAATATATTCTTCTACGGAGGGATTGGGTCGCACTGTTGGGCTCTGCGGGTGGTGTGGTGAAGACTGGAGGGAGGTAACGTCCAGCTCTAGCTGGTAACTGGGCTTGTTCGGTGGTGTTGCGCTGGGCATTCAACCTACATATATGTATGCACCTTGCTAGGGCTTTTTACTAGTCTTGTTCCCAGACTGTTTTGTTGTCGCGCTGCGTGCAGACACATCAAAGCAAACGTACACAGGCTGGGCACGAGACTAGGCTTTTACTATTCCTACATAACCTAGACCTACTCGACCCTACGCATCCGAGCATGGAAAGCTAACTTACACCGACGTTCGCTGACAGGATATCTTGGAAAACTCAGCACATAATAGGGATCCGGCATGCGGCAATCGACCGCCATCTGCGGTACTGTTTAACGTACGCGTGCAGAGACGGGCAGCTACGGCGAACGGTGGATGGGCAAGAGGCACCGGGTCCATGCATCAGAGCTGCCGGGAATTGCGGGGGGGGCGGTATTATAGGCTATCCACTGATTGGATGGGCTCATGGATACTATAATCAAGAAAATCTAGAAGGATGGCTTTAGTGTGGTCCACGAGACGAGTTAACTCGAGTCCTCGACTCGAGCCCAAAGCTCGAGCAGCCACGAGCAGCTACCCCCACAAGTCGAGTTGGCTCGAGCTTTTTTTGCTGCTCGACTTGAAAAGCTCGAACTTTTAGGTGTTATCTCTCTGAGTATTCCCGCCTGAAAACAATACTAGATATGCCCATATTATCCTTCCGCCATTTGATTTGTAAAATCTTGAAGTACTCAACCCTAACCCTAATAATATATGTTTGCACAAAGAGAGCTAGAATGACTTCTGGAACTCCTATCTGGGGCAACTAAAAAGCCCGAGCTCAGCTCGAGCAACTCGAGCTTTTACAAGTCGAACAAGTCGAAACAAGCCGAACAGCTGCTATCACGAGTCAAGTCAAGCTTTTCCTCCTGCTCGTCTCGAGCCGGCTCGTCGACCACACTAGATGGCTTGTTAGGAATAATATGGGCACTGTGGAGTTGATCCTTGGCAGCGAGTGATGGGCTATGATTATAATACATTCTGTTCTACATCCCCTGAATTATATTATTGTGCTTGATGATTTTAGAGGCTAGATCACAGCTACCTACAGTGGAATCCTTTGGGGGGGGGGGGGGGGGAATCGAATGTGGGGTATGAAGAGATAAGTAGTTAAAGTACAAGTACATACATGTGCTCAAACACCTCGCACTTCTTAAGTAGCCCAGGACTAGCGCAACACCTCTTCCTTTCCTGCGGTCTCGGTTTTGCTGACAGTATATACATATATTAAGCAGTATTCACACTTTCTCAGATAGATAGACATCTCAACTGCCCCGAAGCAAGGCGAGCACATAAGCGTACAGAGTTAGAAGTCCAGGCTACTTAAGCAAGACACGAATTATCTAGCATCGGTTCAAGAGCTTTATTGAAGCTCCGACCGGCACCATATGGATCTTGAGTACCGCTGTCTACGTAACCATAGCTAGCTATAGCTTGATTCACAGTAACAGCTACACTCCTAACTTAGGGTCCATATTTGCAGCTTCTCAGCTTCAAGCCCGCCCGCCGAGGCCCACTGTACCTAGAGCGCTTGTGCCATGGCCGGTATTCTATTCCAGGTTACAAGTCATGATAATCCCCCCACTAGGGAGCGGCGGCGGTTTTCGTGAAATGGCTTGGGTGGTAAATTTCTATATCTTGAATTCGGGGCGGCCGATATGTAAGGGATAAACACTTGGGACTGGCGACAGGCCGGCCTCAAGAGATAGTAGCTACAGTACCAGAAATAGGGTACCGCATCAGTTTGGAATCGCAAGAATATACCGTAGTTCTATGGAATTTTCAAAGATTGCAGTGGTAATTCCACCCACATTTCTGTTATTATGGTTGGATATATGGTTATAACTAGGCTAGGCGACTACACGTTGTTATAGATTGGCTCACTATAAAGAATCAGAGATTTAGCTGGTAAAAGTCCCAATCATCTCAAGTATATATAATAGTTCAAGTAACTCCGATACGTACGTGGGTCCGGATATCTTCGGAGCGGCGGTCAGCTAGAGATGGGACGCTTTACCCCCCGTCCCCCCGGGTCGTCTTTCTCCTCTCCGGCAGTACAGTAATATACTGTTGTGCTGATGGAACATGAAACAAGCGGTTTAAAGTGGATGATATCGAACCGTGGTATCTGTTTGCAAATATGGCAGGGGATGAGGTCTTGGCCGGAAAACCACGGAATATATCCCCAGCGGTTTCACACCACCTCGTTCTCTCTTGTGCATTCATGACGCATGAATAGGTTCTAAGTGGTTCATTATTATGACTATGCTCTACGATAGGAGGCTTACGTGATGATTTTCGGAAGCCCCGTTGTCACTGCTCAGAGCCCTGGATTTGGTGAACTAGGAACATATTACTCAGTGCAGGATCGACGTACATAAGTTTCATACCCAGGTAACTCAACTGGATGATATCAGGGATTTGAAGCTTACATGTAAAATAGAGTAAGCACTCACACCAAACGTCTCCATAGAGTGCATAATACATTTTTAGCGAGGCATTCCAGACAAGTTACAAACACCAGCTTAGCAGAGTGACTGTAGCCCTCTCCCCCACTAACCCGCCTACAACATGTCACTAGCACATCTCTACATCACGCACGATCTCCCCCGCTACTCTACCATATATAAATAAAAAAGACACTATTAATGTCTCAACGTCACGCCAAAATCCGACACACCGCCTACCATCTTCCCATCCAAACACGTGTTTCCTCAGACATCTCTCCCCGCCGTTCTCTTCTACCCGCTCGTCTGTATTGAAAGAGCTGTTGTGTCTGCTGCACGTGGCGGATTAGAGATGGGGAGAGAGACATTGCAATGTGTCAATTGTGACATATAACGTGCTTTTTTTTTGATATGTACATGTATGTACCATGTACGGTACATATGTGCCATGGGGGAATTCGAATAGAAAAGACATTCGCCAATCTTTTTTACTCACTGTCTGAGACTTGCACTTTGTGTAGGGTGATGGAAATGCAACGGCCATTCGATGATGGAGGGGAGTAAGAAAATAGGCAATACATTGCTCGCCCCGCCCTATCATACAGTGCCTATGCATGTAAAAGAGGGGATGTACTTCTTGGTTGGTCGTTGAATAGTCAGTTGGGAATGTTGCATGTTCCGCCAAGGTCTTCCATAGAGTGCAAACCGTGGTTCACATTTTTAACTACGATCGGTCCGATTCTAAATTGAGCACGCTAGTTAGATAAGGAAAAGGTGGGAATTGGAATTAGCGGCATCTATTCCCAGCGTGACTGCAGTACTGGCAATGATCGCAACTGCGAGAAAAGAAAAGAAATGTTGAAAAATACATATTTATTCAGGAATATGGTATTCGACCCTTCTACGTGTTTGATTTTCTTCTCTTTCTCTTCCCTTTAAAAACACAGTAGTGCCCTCTCCTCCTCATACTCTATTTACCCAATCCCTCATCAATCCATCCGTCGGACTATCGTACGTGCGCAAAGCTACATGAGTGGGGGGCCCTCATCTTGTTACATTTCCCAGCCGTTCTCTACATTTCCCCCCTAAAAAAAAGAGAGAGACAATCACTCGCTCATGGACAGAAAAGGAAAAGAAAAAAATGAGATAAAAGCGATGGAAAATGGAAAGAAAACCCAACCCAACCAACCCAGAGGTAGAAAAGAGAAGAAAAAAAGACCAAAATAAAAAGAAAAAAAGGATGAAAAACAATAAAACAAAAACACCCCCCATTAGAAACAAAGGAACAAGGAAGGAAAAAATAAAATAGCGAATGATTAGATAGATACTTAGCTAATCCAATAATAGTGATAGAGAAGAAGCCATGCAAACCGTTATTACTGTAAAAAGAAAAAGAAAAACGAGTGGGGGATAAAAAAAAGACAAACACCATTTTTGAACCCTCAAAAAATACACATTCCATAAACTGAAAGAATGAAAAAAAAAAAAAAAAGCTCGGAGAATTTGAATAACCCTTGCCTGGTATTCACAAAAGCTTCCTCAGGATCCTACGCGGAAAAAAAAACTCCTAAACACCCTTCCGACTCATCTGAGATTCTCTCCTAGTGATCTGACTCCCCATGCTTGCACTGCGACTCTGCTCCACTAGTTCTGCTTGGCTTCCCAAATAGTCACCTTCTTCGTTTGGTACAGTCCGGAGACTGTCTTCCATCCGATATCTTTGTACCGTCCCCACGCTTGCTGGTCTGCTCCCAGGTTCGTCTTCCGTGGGCAAATGCGGCGGTGCTAGAATGCTGCTGTTGGTGCTCACTGATCGCGAGTGTGCGCTACTTGCATCCCTACTTGGACTGGTAAATGGAAGCCGTGTAGATGACCCGACAGAGAGGTTTTGCTTGTGCCGTAATGGATGGAGCTGTTGCGGGTCTGGGATATTGTATCGGTTCGATGTAGAGCTGGAAGGCGAGAAATGCGGGTCATAGGGCTGGTCTGGTTTTCGAATCATTATGGGGCTGTCCGGTTCATCGTCTGCCGTGTTATGTTGCGATAGTTGGTGCTGGAGTTGACTCGTCAAAACCGGTGAAACTAGCAAGCTGGCTGTTTTGCGTTTTGAAGATTTCCGTGGCACCTGAGGTTTGAGGCTTCCTTGTCGCATGAGTTCTATGCCAGCCCCATCTGTGTCATCGAACATTGGCTGCTTTTCCAGCATCCTTGTGCTAGGACCCGGCGTACTGGAGTCAAGGTTTTCCTCCTCGTCCTCGGTATCCGTATCAGGAGCTGGACCGGCGGCCCGTCGCTTTCCTACCCCCTTCTCGCCATTTTCAGCTTCCTCGTCCCCACTCTCCACATCACTTCCCTCACTCTCGCTTTCATCACCCTGCGCTCTTAGAGGTGCATCGGCACTAATCGCCATCCCAATACCCTTTGCCTCTCTCTCAGCGTCCAATAGCTCCTCGGGAGCTCTACTACTCCTCACAACAGTGAAACCTTTATCTTCTTTCACTCCCAACCCCAACTTCCGCCACAACCATCCCTTTGCATTTGAAACAGGCCCTGTTGGATCTGCCGGTCCAGTACCCAATCTCCTTGCGGGCTGGTTTGACAAAGCGGGGCCGCGAACGCCATAATAAAAGTCTCCTTCTCTTACTGCGTAATCAGGCTGGGCCCTAGCGCTCCCAGTTAATGATGAATCCGTGTGTCTGTGTGCTAACCCTTGAATAGTAGGTCCGGTCGGGAACCCGCCCATATCCATTCCAGCGCTTTCACGCGGTGTTCCTGGGCCAGACTGTGCGCCGGTGGCATTGGTGATTCCTTCCTTATTATTGTAAATACTGTGACTTCCATGAGAGCTCTGCTGAGATCCTCGGTGCTTCCCAGCTATCCCGGCTCCTGCAGGCCACCCTTCACTAGCCCAACTACCTCTGCTGCGTGCACCAGGCGAATAGTTATCGCTTGCACTTCCCTCCCCATTTGCCCGTTGCTGTAGACCCTTCGCTCTAGGGGGACGATAATAAGGCCCGGCTACACCACTTGTGTCTATTCCTAGCGGAATCCCAGGACCTGTTCCAAGATATGAGTACTGACTGGCGCCCCCTGGAGTCGTTGGTGTAAAGCTTGTACTTCCGCTTCCTGAGTGCGCATGCCCGACATCACCACGGCCCAATGATGCAGGAACCATCCCAGGTCCAAGCAATACGGCTGAACTGTCAGACCTTGAGTGAGGGCCCATACCCGGTCGATTATGACCCATACTGGACATATTGCGTTCCTCATGAGCACTAGCTGTCATGATGCTGGGGTCAATTGAACCGTGGTGGCTTTTGTGTTTACGACGTGAAAGTTGGCGCATTCCGAAAACCTTTACACGAATAGCGCTTAGTAAAACATATTCACGAGAAACTATTTTCGGGTATAGGTAGGGGTAAATATGCCCCAAAAGAAAGCGGAAAGATAGCAGCAAGAGGAAAAAAGCCAATAAGAGGCGAGAAATAGATGAACGATGACTTGTTTTCTTAAATGCCTTCCCACAAGCAGGTATAGAGATGCTTTTTATGAAAAAGCAAATCCCCATTTTTAATGTTAATAAACGACACATAGTCAATGCGTGTGCATTGATATCATCTTCCGCACTTTGATCCTCAACTTGGGGGTTACCTTTCTTCAGTAGCCCCCTCTTTTTCATGATACTAACAAAAAAAAAATAAACAGAAAAGGGCAAGTGCATCATTCATCTAGATCTACCCTGGGCTCGGGTGTTTCTATTCGCAGTAATCCAGGAGAAGCAAGAATATTCCAACTTACTTTAGCAAGTCCTCCTCTAGCAGCTTCACCATCGTCTGCACCACCACAACCGCGGATGAACAACTCCAGCATGGTCTGCACAGCCATGAAGAAGAACCCAAATATGAGCACTAAGGCATGTATAACTAAAATGACATAGCCTATCCATGCCCTTGCTGCACCACCGGCGTCCATACTTGGCACGAATGCCATCATTAGTAATATAGTTAGTAACCTGATCATTGCAAAGATTGCTTGCCAGGCATTCATTGATGTTGCTGGTGCGTAGGGCTTGATCCCATAAATAGTGAGAACGAGTACAATTTCACAGATGGCAAGGATTGTAATCTGCGCTATCCCACTCGGCTGTAAAGCACCGAATGCAAGAGCTCGAACTATATTAACATAGAGCTGTACAATGAAGAATTTCAGGTTCTTTTCACGGTAAGTATTGTAGAATGTTCCGAATGTTAGTAACGTAGGAAGATTGTCAAAAAGAGTTGACCGGGGTTGGTGGTTCCAGATGCGGATTGTAAGAGCGATTGCGGTGGTTAAAACGACAAAGATAGTTACGCCCGCACATGCTACAACCGCAGTGCTGGTATGACTGGCAACCGTGATTTGAAAGGCTGAGATTGCAAGAATGGGTGTTAGAAAGTAGGTGAATGTGATCCGGTTGATCAAGCCTATAACGTATCGCCAATTTTTGTTAAGATTAGTATGTGTCTCCGACCATAATACTTCGCGCAAGAAGCCCCCTGGCAAGTATTCACTAGCAAAGAAACATCGACATACCCAAGGTAAATGGAACATTTTTTTGCGTCAAATCCTCTTCCTCTACTCCTCGAATTGTCCTTATAACCCATCTAGATCCAAACCACACCTGCACAACTATTATAGTACCAACAGCCACTACTGCGAACCATGCCGCCATACAGACCCAGATATCATTAACATCCTGTAATCCGACAGCCTGGGCTATCCTCTCAAGCCCATAGGCAGCGGCATCTAGGGCGTAGATGCCATCTCCAGACCAACTCTGATCACTGATCGGTTCGTGGGTAAAAAAACTGGTATTGAATAGCAACGAACTCCAGGCTAGCCTTGCAATTGTAGGTTGATAAAAGCCTGGGTAGTTCAATGACAAACTGCCCGTCAGAACAAAAAACTGCAACCACTGTAGGCAGTCTGCGAATCCAGGTGTAACTAAACGAATCATATCCTCGTCCATTCCGAAATTACTGCTCCACCTGAATATATCCACTGTTCCTACCCATGGATTTAGTATCGCTGCAAGGACGGTCCCTAGTGCGACTAGAGCCAGTAAACCCGCAGGTACCCAGGTTATGGCTGCACTAATGCCGGTCCCCAACAGAGGGGTGATCTCGATATGTACACATCCTACGGTTGTTGCTGAGTTGTCCCCAGAAATGATTGTGAACTTGGTATCAAGCGTCGCAAAACGATATGCTGATATCAAAGTTGTATTATAGGTAAATGAATCCAATTCATTCATAAGCAGTGTTATATTATTGTAATCTGTCTGATTTGATAATTTGACGTTGCCCATTGGGCAGGTGGCACCTATACTTGCCGCTGATCCATGTGAACTATCCGCGCAGAAAAATGCTATATCGTCCAATGCTGAGAAAGATGCAATCCCGATTGTGCTTTTGAAAGTGGTGGCATATCTACTCCATGAGGCATCCTTATCCACAATTGTCCCGTTGGTCTCGTAATCTACGCTTCCGTCTATTGTTGGATTGTTGACCCTGATTTGTCCCCAAGAACCAGCTGGAATCTGTGTATCGGTACCATTAACTTTGGCACTCACCACTGTGGTTGCATCCTGTCGTTTCTCCCACCATGACCATCCTTCTTCACTTCGTGGTCGGTAAAGCGCATCCCCCTCAACGAAAAGATCCCTCCGAGAAATTGATGGGTTTGCAGATGATTCCCCCGTAACATTTCCCCAGACCCTAACAGTCAAAACCTTATCTGGGTCGTCCAAAGAAAATGATACTGCAACTAATAAGGGGTGAAACTGGAGATGGGTTGGCGACAACCTTACATCCCTCCGTAGGCAGTTATCGAAAGTGTTTATTAGAACAGCGCGGGCAGGGACGGTGAATATAAGGAGGGTTGCCAGCAGAAATAGGGACAGCATCGGCGGGGTATTGATATTGATACGGCAATGTTTTGACCGACGTTTACGGTGCGCTACTGCTGACGACTCAGGAGGAGTGGTTGAAGACGGCAACGTTGACGACAAAGAAGAAGCGTCGTTCATGATCGCGGAGTGTGGAAACCTAGGAGAACACCTGATCAGCAGGAAATCTTTTGCCCACCCGCATATCACGCTGTACATTTCAATACAGAAAAGACCGACCCCGAGACAGCTCCAGCTCACCTTTCCGCTCCACCTCCCCCTAAAAATAAGACGCCTCGATCTCCCCACCCCAGTCTTGAGTGACAACCACTGGGCGAAACTTCCCAAGCAGCACGGCCAGTTCCCAAAAATTGGATGAAAAGTAACGCTCTCGCCCAAGTGCTGTATATAGGCTGTAGGTCGCGATGGCTGATGGTATTGGTAACGGAGGTGATTGTTGCTATGAAAGTGGTGTGCTGGATAGACTAGCTACTATCACGAAAAACGAACGAGCGTACGAAAGGAATTTTCCAATCAGGTGTATGTCGCGAATGTGTGGGCGACACGACAGGATACAGACAATCTTGGAGTGGAAGTCGCTTGAAACGGCTTCCCTTCAACCCCCCTTTGATGTGCAAGAACCAAAGGTAAGAGTGAAAAAGAAAGGAAAATCAACTAACGAATGGATCCGGATTAGAGAAGTAAGTAGCAAAGTACAGAACCAAGCCCCCACAGTGAACCCAGAAGGAGAAGGGATCACCGATGTTGAAAATGAGGCTTGGGATGGATAGTTTTGTAAGTACTCTAGTCCCTTCAAGGGTATGGAGCAATTAAAATTTATGGGTGAGGGCAGAGGGTGAACGGACGGCGGAGGCGATTATGGTGATGATGCTGGGGAGTGACGAAAGCCCAGTTCTGCGACGTGGTAGCAATTTCGTGGGGGAATTATTTCCGTTTCACTCATAACATGTATGTACCTAGCTCAAGAATTTAGTTACAGCCCGTCCCGAGAACAAACAAAATGAAAAATTCTAGTGTCTTGTCGATTGAACCCCAAAGTCTGTCATCACTTGTTCTCACCCCTTGATTCCTCGATTGCGGCGAAGGTAGGGCTTCTGGCGGGGTGCAGCAAGGACCAGTGTACTTTCTCCGATTCTACGTTCTACCTGCCATGCTTAGGGTCATGCAATTTATTTCCTCTCCATACACTCTAGTGCATGATTTATGCTCACGACAGCCCTTTCCTCGTGCAGATCACGGCTCCCTCTATGAAAGGAGAGGGAAGCAGCCTATTAAATGCTCCAGGAAAGCGATGATACTCAGTAAGGGTGTTCAAAATCGTCTTCCCGTAAAATCTGCGAGGTTCACTTTTTTTTCCCGTAGGATCCGCGAAGCTCATGTCCGTACAGCCGGTCTCCCGTATTCTACTCTCCTCTTGCAAGCCCCACTCACGTACATGTAGGCAGATCCCGTCCTCACGTCACTTTACAGGCACTAGGTTCACTTCTGCCGCATGTTTTTGTTGTTTCCGTTAGGGATGTCCAGAGAACACAGAGCTCGAAGGCCAGGACCCAACTTCGCCTGTCATTCAACTCACGGTTTTTTATTTTCACATACGGATGATTGCAAAGAGCTGTAGGTGCTCTGCCATTTAGGGTACGGAAGTACTACTAGAGTACATGTAGCTCTGCAGCTACGAAGTACCTACATACATACAACCTATCATATCCGCAACTTCTCCAATATCCATTCTCTCGGATTGGAATGTCCTTTTTTCCTTTCTTTTCCTTCTCTCAACGCTCCCGAGCTCCCACAACCTTGATTCTGAAGATCATTTATTTTTTTCCTGGGATTCCTTTGTGTCCAAGAATAGAAAAGCACATGCACTTGCGCTAAAGCCCCTGGCTGCAAGACATGGATGAGGCTGTGCAAAAAGGAACCCCCAAATCGTGCTAAATTTAGATGTGCACTTGCAACTGATCCAACGTCGCAATCTCATGTCGCACAACGAACGCCACGAGAGTCGATGGTGTCACAGCGTGACACCTGATATCACTGTACCGGATCTAGCACGCGATTGGAGGTTAGGAAAATCAACTAAAACTGACTTGGCAGTAGCACGGAAGCATAGAAGAACAACAGTGGGTGTTCCACGAGTTTGTGAAGATTTCTATTTGCGATAATATCTTTCATAAGCACGGAGCTGAGGATATGACCGGAAATCCCAAATCTACATGTATGGTTTTGGATATGTATGTATCAAACCACAGCTGGGGAGCGCACGGGACTTCCCAAAGCTCGCCAATTAACAGACAAGCAACGCTCAAACCTGATATTGAAAAATGACATTGGTTTGCAACCCTCTTTAGCCGTGTCTTGGGATACGAAAGCTAGGCTGTTGGATATATTTGTAATTCTTGGTTTAGCGTCACTTTTTTACTATCCCAGCCTTATATTTTAATTCACATACATGTAGCTATCGATATACCACTGCGTGATCCGTTCATCATATAGTGCGCTGTAAGATCGAGAATAAACGAATTGCACTAGCTATTAAAGTAGGTGACTAAACCCGATCATTCCGTTAGTTCCTTATGAAATCAGAAAGACTCAGCATTCATTGCATATCTCATATACTCCTGGGCAACTGGACCACACAGGTACATGTAGTAAAAAACAAACGGTATGCTACATACGCTGAGTATGAGTTCCCATATTTGATTTACGCCAGATACATGCGTTTTTTATAGTATGTATTTTGGGCATCCTTTTCAAAGGCCATCATTATAGGGCGTTGTCTTTAACCATACTTAATTGGCTATGATTACTTTTCTCTAAATATCTGCTGAAGATGCATTGCCGAAGAGTTCCTTGAGTGGGGACTAATAACAGAAAATTTGTTGCACATACGGCTACGGGTTGTGAGTGTTTATTTTTCTTTTCTTAGTGGGGTCATATCGACGTACTATCAGTGATCTCGTGCCTATAGCTAGGCCATGACCATTCATGCAGCTAGCTTAAATATGTGCAACTTGGGCTTTAGCAAGTGGAATATAGATAGCACCATGTGCCACGACTATGTGCATGTACGTATTATGTAATTACAGAAAAGCTTCTTACCTCAAAGTCCAGATCATGGAGGTCTAGATTTATAAATCCATGTATATGTGCCAGTAGGGGATTGCTGACTGCAAAGGTCAAAATATAAATTAAAATCACTCTTGACCCCACTCTGATCAGACTAAAATCACCGTTGATAAGAAGATAAATAAGTATGCTTTGCTTATTTCATTCATTTGGTTATTCTGAGATGGGTTCCGCACCAGAGAATCCTCATGCCACGTGATTCCAGTCGAGCTAAACTTGCAGGACTTGGTCAGGTACATATCTCGAAGATGATCGTCATGCACTAGAGGATTTCTAATTTAGACCAGAATCGAGTGATACTTCATGTACGGACACGAGTCCAGATATGGGCAGTTGCACCAGCTTAGTTAGCTTCGATCTCTTATCATACTCGCCCACACCCCAGTCCAGCGATATGACTGATGGCAGCCTTACGTCCTACGGTATCATAACATGAAAATTCTCATACTGTCTATGTATTCGATTGAAGCTGTCTGTGTTGGTATGTATGTGTGGTCTATCATAGAGGTGAAAGTGTAAACTTATTGGTCTACAATTAATTATAGCTACAGTCACTCACGGGGTGAAGGCGGATCCTGTCTGATGGCGGTCAGGGATTTGAGGCCAATAACAGAGTTAACTCTGGGACGCCAAGGGGAAATTACTGCAAACACAACCATCAGACAGGATCCGCCGTCACTAGGTGAGCGACTGTAGCACTATCCCTCACTCACACAAATAGTAAACGCCCAATATGGCATCCAACCTCTATTGGATGGCCGTTGGAGTTTCCATACTGCCTATCATGATAGTTATTCGGATAGCTAAGTGATTGGCATGGGTAAACATATCACCGGCTCGATAAATCTTATCGCAAAACGGGAGAAACCTGCACAAACATCAATATGTGTTCGGAATTCCGTGCTTCGATTAAATTTTTAAAACCACCCTGACCTTTTTAGATTTGTCTTCATGACTAGATTTAGCTGGGTTGTCTTTTTATAAAATTGGAGGTAAATGGCTCCAGACGTTGGGAATATTTGATGAGACCACCTTGCATTTGAATAGTATAACTACCCTAAATATAACCCGCTTTTTATCCCATTTAATCAAAATTACATATGCGGGTCCCTTCCAACCCGATTTGCAACATCAATCAAAATAAAAAATAAAATAAAATAAAATAAAAAAAGGTTACAGACGCCCCCAAAAATATCATAACACAAACAGATCAAAGAAAGTTCTCCATTGATATGATGTGGGTAATACCAACACATTTAGAACACAATCAAGTCCAGATGCTTTAATCGTACATACCGTTCGGGAATGACTCATACTTGCCAGAGGCCAAAATTGGTATATCATCTCCAAAATCTAGATGATGAATATTATTTTGAGTATTGACCCTGTATCCGTATACCACCTTTTTGTCATACGTATCAGCAATCTCCCAACCTTGTAAATGAGATCCGGAATCTCCCAAGCGTTCCAACATTGCTATGGATAATTAGTTAGTGCTCTCAGATCGAATTCGCGAAAGGGATATGATAATACTTACGTCTGAGAAGTCGTGCTATGGAAAGGAAGGAATCATCTTTGCAAAACACAGCATTGGCTTTTATGACAATAAAGATTCCAAAGATGAGGTTTATCGCAAGGATCATGCCTAAGGTAATATACTGAGACCAACCATTAGTAAAAGAGCGTAGTAAATAATGTTCAATAGAACGAGCCACAAGATTTGTTTCCGAGTTATGGTAACTGTATCGCGATCGTCTCTCGTCCGAAGAAAATTTGATTTATAACATACCAATTCCCTCCATTTCACTACAAGTCTAACGCCTTGCCATTGCTGATTCCCTGTCGAGACGATCATAGGGCCATATTGGTCATAATTGGCGATAGAACCAGCCACAAACCATGCAAGCCCCTCTCCAGCGTATTTTTCACCATCCTCTCCAGCGAGATCTGTAAGCCCCCAGTAGCTTCTGTAATCATAGAACATCAAAATTAGCAACTAGGCATCAAAATAATATTAAGTTATCCATGAATGACTTATGCATACGCTTTACTATATCTCACCATCTGCCGCCCAGCATCATCATACCATCCTTGACTCCCAGGTGATCCCGCGAAGATCTTGGCAACTTCATCGGGAATTTCATGCTCAGGCTCGACGGCGTTATAAACGGGGCTAACTTCAACGGTACAGTTGAAAAATAAACCTTGTCCAAAAAGAGGAAACTCAAAAATGTAGAGTCGGCTACAGCGGTCTCCACATGACAGATACTCTGGACTAATTCCCTCCCAATATGGATTAACGATAATACTGTGGTAAAGTAAGATATTAGTTATTTAAGCAAATTAAAATGATATGATAATGGGCTCATACTTTTGACCGGGCATGGAGTCCTAGGATAGGATATGTGTTAGCCTCTATCTACTGAATTCAACGTATAATGTTATGCCCAATAAAATATCTCGAGCAATTATTAATTTTAGAATTACCGGTTATGGAATCAAGGTATAGCTTCCCGAGGTACTGGTACGCAAATCCATAGAACAAAAACAGGATTTAGAACTTTCGGGGATTCACCTTCAACCAGTCAATTGTAGCGTTTACACCTTCATTTGTTAAAATCGTAAATGGTGTGTCTGCATCGCCATACTTATTTTCCTCGATTGGATAGTATTCACACTGCGGAGTAACAGTCACCGTACGATTCGTTTCGACTGAGATGAATTGATCGGAAACCGAGAAGTCCACTGCCCACTCTTGAATCTGGTGGAATTTGTAAGCCTCAAGATCTATGAGGCAATTTAGGTTCGGGGGTTTGTACTCACAGTATATTCCATAGTATTGGTTGAAGGGTTATAGATCAAAAAATGGTTTATATCATTAGCCGAATAGATTGTATCTGGGGTGTAAACAGGGACGATTGAGTAGCTTGCTGTACATGATTATCAATATGTTAGACATCCTAAATAACTTGCTAGAAAAATGAGAAAGTCAAATAACGTACAAGAACCATGCATATTTGCCGCCCATTTCTGCACCGCAAGTGGTATATTTGCATCAAAAGCCGGATATGTCTCGGGATAGATAGAATCCAATGCAGTAATATTAACTGGGCCTATCTTTAAAGCAGTATCGTTCTCATGATTATAGGTTAAACCAATTAGAGCAATTGCAACTTGAGCCGCCTAAAGATATTAGTAAAAAAAAAAGGCATTTCTTGTCTATATATGGACCGTTGTAGTAGAATTACCACTCCTAGTAGGATCCATGCAATTGCGCCGAGTCTAAACACCCATGACTTGGTCGCAAGGTGTGTGTGTTCCTTGGATGGTGTGAACAGTAACTGGATCGTTTTTTGGAAACTACTACAAGCCAAAATCAAGTCGACCTGTCCAAGGTTAGAGATATTGGGTCATAAGCTTTTGAGAAACTTACCTCTCTTAGTGTAAACTCGTGCGCAGCCAGCAACCTCCATCTTATCATGTTGGCTAAAGATTTGAAGGCTGACTATCAATCCGAGAGAAGGATGAGTTAGCAATTGAGCTTGGCCTCAAACTCCCTTATATTTTCCTTAAAGGATTGACTTACAATCAAGTTCATACTGAGAATCATCGAAATCCCTATGTATATAGCATTGAAAATATATTTATTATCGTTATCGAGAACGCCGCTGCTGCCATAATATTTGAACAACCCAACAATGGCGGCACAACAGGCTGTAGTAAATGCAAATCGCGCTATCATATGCAAAAAGTTTTTACGCATTTGACGCCTTGAGCTATATAAACTGCTGAGCGCCTTTTTTTCCCCCGGACTCATGGATGCCATCCGAGTCTGAAGCCGAAACCCAGGCTCCAGGTCTGATGCAGAACTAAAGAAACCCCTTCGACCTGGTCCTCTCATATCTGGGCTAAAAGGGCCACCAACTAGAGTATCCTGGCTGTCGCTTCTCTTGTGTGCGGGTGGGCTGGATAGATCAGGAGAAAACATCTCATGTTCTTCGGGGATGGATGTGTACTTGCCCCCACCAGACCCACCATAATAACCGGAGTTCGACATTATCTCTGAACCGTGAATAGTACTTCGGCCTTAAAAGAAAAGGTGAAAATCTGTAGGTTGAATAGAAGGCTAGGAAGTAAGTACTGTAAATAAGCTGAGTTGATAGTTTCCTAAAAACTTGACTGCACGACTAAGTACCTAGAATAGTACTGTAGTCGGTCGGGAAAGGTGAAGCTATTCCATAAGAAAGCCTATAAAATATGGGGTTTCGATTGCAAATTACAGACGTAGACGTAAGAAATCAGATGAAGAAGAAGAAGGGGTCGTGGGAGAAGCTTCTGGGATGTCTGTTCAGATATAAGACTTGTGTCTTCGTAGTAGGTACACACGTTCCCGCAGCAGGAGGGGGAGGGGGGGGTGGGGGTGGACCGAAATATATTTTGGCGGCAGGGGACCCATAGTGAGGCTCAGCCGGCCCACACTACTGTAGGTACTCCCTTATTAGAGGTATGAAGAATAGCTGGAGAGAGAGGCCTAGCGAGAGTTAACATGCTAGTCTCCAACTTAAAATACGAGTATGTAGTTACAGTAATGGTGCAACAGCTCCCCATACGCGCATAATTTGAGTATAAGGCAGTCTTGAAACTTTCCACGGTTTCCGTGTTTATCACCATTCGGAGTCATAGTATGGTAGACTCTCATGCCTTATTAAGCGCCTGTCGTGAAAAATAACCATGTTTGGTGCGATATCGGTAGCACAGCGCCAAGTAGAGTATCTATCCCAGCCAAAAAAAAGGGCGGTGTGTGCAACTGTGCCTTTACAACTTTGGATATGATAACTACTCGGGGCAGGCAAAAAGCACCGAATAATGCATATCGTCTCCGTGATTTTTTTGGCAGATGCTAACGCCTGATGCGCGTATCAATTGGTGCGAAAGAAACCTGCTATGTCCGATACTACTCTAGAGTATGTTCTATTTTCCTGTCCACCCATAGTAAAGACTTTCATCTGACCACGGAGTTCACACCATCGAGCAAAAGAAAAAATAAAACATAAACGGACCAGTCCCGACGTTGTTGCACACATGCAAAGTCAAATTGAGTAAGCTCCATAACCGATTCTTTCTAGTGGTTAAAATCCCCATGTCCTTCTTCACCCCGTGAATGACCGTAGGCCGCTGTAGAGCACATACCGCCAAAACTCGAAAAATTCGCTATCTCCGTCCAGGGATTGCCACTTGAGTGATTGGTTGAATGGCATCGATCTGCACCAGAAGTTTCCCGTACAAGTAATTTTGATCTAGCCAATTTTTCGAGTTATGGCGGTACTCTTGGTTATGTAGGTATTCGTGTAATAGAGTAGAGCACCATACATGCCTACATAAATGTAGAATAGCCGGTATTAGAGCGTTTTAGCTGCGCCAGTTGAACAGAAAGTTGAGCACTTGGACAGAAAGTCCTGCACCTCTTATTGGCTGAATCCTTGCAAGTCTTTGCCTAAAATAGTTAGAATTTCTGTCCAACCTGTCCGACTTTCTGTTCAACTGGCACAGCTAAAACGCTCTATTCACTGACGAGAAACACCCCAGTATTATTGACAGGGTTCTCGGAAACCCGGGATTTGCGACTTGGCCTGGACCGACTTGGTACAGAGCTTGTTTCAAGCATTTGTGCTGCCTTGTGAGCATCATGTAGAGTACATGTAGGTACATAGAGTAGAGTATATGAGGTACATACATGTACCACACAAGCTTCAATCTGCAACTGAAAAGTTTTTCTCCATGCATCTCCGGTGTGTAATCACAGATGGCCAATTAGGCATATAGGTCGGTGGGAAACTAGGCAAAGCAGATAGCTTCTTCTGGATTTATGTTAGTGCTGTTTAGATACCAGTAGGTACATGTATTCAGAGAAGTAGGTAGCTCACCGGGACAGTACTCTATCGACCTTGATATTGAAAAGCTTGAGTGCGCATGGGTGTGTGTGGTACATACATGTATCTCTTTTACATACATCACAGTAGGCACACACATGAGCTGAAATAACCTTAATCTGGAACGCTACCACGCCACGTTATCGGGAACTAAGATGATGTATGTATGTGCTTCATCTAAAACGTTGATACATACCACTACATATTTGCACTAGTACAGTAACTGACAGCTGTAGCCCTAAACCGTCGTTAGGGCTCACATCGGAAATCAATTTCCTACTCGTTACTATGTATCTCACACGCCGATATCTGTGTTTATCTTGGCTTGCACTATCTCCATGAAGAGCACATGCGGAATACATATTTGTACAATAGTAGATATGTAGCGGGCCTCGAGTTCCCAGCGAGTGCTCACAAAGATTTCGTAGAATTCGCTCAGCTGCTAGCTCTCGATTATTGTTAGCGATTGCCCGCATTGTAACAACGTATATACATGTATAGACCGCCTAAAATAATCAGCAGTCTCTTATATATTCTAGAGGAGAAAAAGGTAAGCATCACCAACCTACATATATGTACCATATAGATTTCATCGACTAGTAAGCCAAACAAAAACCTTAAATAATATGATAATGGATTCAATTTTGTCCCAGAATTATGGTACATGAGTCACTAGGGGTATTCACTTGCCAGAATACGTGCACTCGTCTAGGGATGTGCTTATATGAACCGCTTAAAATAGTCGGCAGTCGCGTATTCTGAAATATGTATGAGCAGAAAACAAGCATCACTAACCTACCTTATTGTCCATGAGAATATTGACCATATATGGTATCATATAAAGGTGATTGACTAGTACGCTAAGCACAAATCCCAAATTAATATAGTAACAGATTTTCTCCCTCAATATGGCAATAGGGGTATTCACTTCTAGAAATATGTGCCTTTATAACGCTGCATTACAACGCCGCTTATATGGCACTGAAATTTTCAAAGGTCTGAATACCTCTGGAGTGTACATGCCATATTGTGGGAGTAAATCTGTTACCATATTAGTTTAAGATTTGTGCTTAGTGTACTAGTCAATCACCTTTATATGGTACACATATATGGTCAATATTCTCATGGACAATAAGGTAGGTTAGTGATGCTTGTTTTCTCCTCATACATATTCAGAATACGCGACTGCCGATTATTTTAAGCGGTTCATATAAGTACATGCCTATAAGAGCACGTATTCCGGCAAGTGAATACCCCTAATATGTGCACTCCAGAGGTATTCAGATTTTTGAAAAATTCAGTGCCATTAAGCGGCATTGTAATACAGCATTATAAAGGCACATATTTCTAGAAGTGAATACCCCTACTACATGTAGTCAGGTATTCAATCATCTGGAAATTACCTATGATGGCGTATATTCTTGGAAGTATACCCCTAGTACATACATACATGTAACTACAGGTATGTATCGAAACGTATCAGTTTAAAGTTAAGGCACACATGTACATGTACTTGTACCTATGTAGCTCTATTACAAACATGCATTTCTCTTTAGCCTCGATGGCACTTTTAGCAAAAGACACGTAATTATGGTGTTCCACCTGCTCGAGATAACACATATCAAATTTTGTCGTGTTTACACTAGGTACCTATATATTCCCCTCGATCCCTTTTCGTTGATCGCGAAAGAGTTTGGATAGTTTCCCAATAACCAACCAATGGACTAGATCCATCAAGCGGCAGCTGATATCGACATATTTACGAGTAGAAACTCTCCAAGTTGATTGTATTTTATAAGATACACCGAGAGGCACTGTTTCGCCAGAATAATTTCTCTTCGTCAAACCTCGCACGTCTCAAAATGCAAAATATCGGCAAATTCACTTGGTCCCCTCCACCTAGACCACACAGCTATTTTAGCTATTGGCAGTCTAAAATAAAGGAAGATCTGATGAGAGATGGACTCTGGGCCATAACGGTAGGAAGCACCACTTTTGAGGACTTCTGCAACGACTATACGTCTTATATCGAGGGCACCTCGAATCGGTTTCCTACTTCGTACGCCACCTTCGACTCCCCTTACGGCACTGGCTCCGATTCCGACTCCGGCCCCGATCACGATCCCAACTCCAACTCCGACTCTGACTCTGACTCTGATGCTGGCCCCGACGCTGATTCCGACGCTGATTCCGACTCCACGGATGCTAATCTCTCGACCTCTTCTTCTAGAGCGGAATCCCTTACGGTCTCTGAGCTTCTAGTGGAATGTATCTCGAATTCTAGATCTGAACTTCTAGAAAAGATGAAACATGATTGGAAAAGATTGTGCCGGAATGCTTGTGAAAGGATACTATTTACTATGGATAAAAAGATCAACATTAGATACCAGAGGTTCAGAGACCCTAAGAAGCTTTGGGAAAGGCTTGTTAAGGACAACCCAGAGTGCCGAATCGACAGAAACAGGCAATATAAACTAACAAGCATATTATATAGTCTCAATTTAGGTGCCCCAGGGGCTGTGGAGGCTTATGTCTCAAAAATCAATTCTTTGGCACATCTATTGGCTAAGTCGGGCAGGCAGGTATCGATGGAAGAAAAAAATTTCATCCTGCTAAGGGGCTTATCAGGGCCCTGGCTAGAAGTGCAAAATAAAATCAACAAAAACCTTTGGGCAGATTTCGATTGGTCGGTGAGAAAGTTGTTTAAATACGAGTCAATCATGGTTAAGGAAAAAATAGAGGCTGAGGTCGAACGCGAGAAGCAGGAGAAGCTGGAGAAGCTGGAGAAGTTGGAGAAGTTTGGGGGTAAGCTGGCGAAGCAGGCGGAGAAGCACCGAGCTATACTAGAGAGTTCAAATTGGCGGATTCCGAATCAAAACCCAGAACCTCGCAATAATATGGGTTAACATTTATATAGGACATAAGTTGGGGAGTCTAACCGTGCCAGTAGGGTTGAATTAGGCAGTGCATTGGTACTACAAGAGACGGTTCTATGGGGTCTAGGTGTACTAGAGAGTGAGGAAGAGTATAGCTATATAGCCTAGCTATATGTAGATATATCTTGGTCAGATGGCCGTGTCAAATGCGAACTTGCATGCAATATTTTAGTTAGCATGCCAAAATTACATGTACTATAGAAGTATTGAGCTTTGTACGATTGCCCCTTTGTTGCATGTTTTTTATGTGTGTAAGTGAAAACGTCCTATGGGATCGAAACTAAACCGTTATCGGTTCCCAAGTCATACAAATGGAGTAATAGTGACAGTATTGTTTTAAGGAAGTGCGCAAGTTTAGTATAATAACGAACGATCAATGGATGAAGGGAGAGAGCATCAATTTCATGTAACAGGGAAAAATAGCGTTTCGATTTAATTTTGAAGCAAGGTGAACCGTACTAGTGGTATTCGGAGCTTTTATGTGAGTACCTACATTCATGTATTACGCCCTAGAATATGCTATATCATAGACCTTTCCGCCTGCCAGCCGCCATCTTACCACACCTCCCGAAGTTAATTACGTCGTCATTCCCTAATTAAGGTTATTAAAGAGCGGATAGCAGTCAAGTCTACTTTTCCTATGAGCGCTTTATCTATAACCTAGTGTATATACTTGCCAATTTTTTTCCTCATCCGGAAATATGGGAGTGCGCGTGCTACAAAGCAACGGCCCTAAAACTTCATGAATTTGATAGCTATTTGGCAAGACGAAGCCGCCACGACTCTTCCATATCAGGAAGAATAGGTTCGCTGGACACAAGAAAAAATCCGGCAAGTAGAGCTAGAGGTTGGAGTTGAATAAGTACTACATGTACATACCTACATGTATATACATACGTACGGGTACGTTATACGTAGAAAAGAAAATATTAAAAATAGCCCCCATCCGATTGTCGAGTGACTTGCTGTGAAGATACATATATATGTACATATGTAGTTATCAGGAATCCCAGGCCGGGGCTGTAAGGCCTAGGTAGAATGTTCGAAATGAGCGTATAAATTCTCACTAAACTTGTCGGGTTAGAATCAAGGCATAGAGAATAAATGATTTTCAGCTTGTCCAACTGACAAGCGTATGCGGAAAATCAAGCTCGTGACTGTTTGAGATTCTGTCTTGGCTTGTATGTGTGCATCCCCCCAATTCAACGGGTAGAATGCACCTCTCCTGGTATTATGAAAGCTTAGTTGTGAATCAAGTCCTGGCCGTACTCGTGTGGGGTAGCCGGTAAATAATATTCCCGGTCGAATGTTGGGGTACAATCCCCATACATACATGTACTCATACCCAATACTTTGTTGTATCAAGTGACGTGATGCTACTGCATGTAGGCGTATTCTACATGCCAATTGAAAGACAGTAGAATATCGTTAAGAATCACTCTAGACGAGTGACTGGACATGATGTCCGCATGGACATGAAACGTCATCTCAGATACAAAAGTCGAATTTTGGGCCTTGCTCCGAAATGATTCTATGTACAATTCTGCATGTCGCTACCCCATGTTTCGGACGACATACCTACCGGCTAGTTCCCGCCACCTGTAAATCTGATTGGGCCCCCAACATACAGGCTCTTCCCCTTGCCTCTTTCCCCACCCCCGTCGTCTTTCTGCAAGTGGCCCAGGCTCTAAAACGTAGGGCCATCCAGAATGCCGAAATGGGGTTGGTACTTTGTCGTGACCCAACTTGAAGCTTCTTGCTGCTGTGAGCTTGCGTGGATCATCAGGTGGACTTATGCTATGGTATGCTGTCTTGCAGTCATCTATTTTATCCCAGTTTTTTCCCTCTCTTTCCGCCCCACACTTCAGGGGGTTCTTAAAGTCCCGCTCTGCCACTGCCCTCACGATTGAGCTATATTTTCAGTTGCGATTTCTTCAATCCGTCGAATCGATATCTCGGTACACGAGTGGAGGCTCAATTGTGCGGCGGCAACTGCTATTACGTCATTTCTAGTGCCATTATACTAGGCAACATCGCGTAAATCGTCAACATCGCCAACACAATGACCAGCCAATCTTCTACGGTGGCTGAAAACCGACTGCACGCGTCGATTCAAGACCAGCAAAGCACGATTCTCAACGGAGGAAAGTACGATGAGGGCGTAGGGCCAGGGCAGGTTCCTCCAGTCGGTGCATTTGAGGTTTCTAGGACGATACGAGTGGTCCAGGTTGGGGTAGCAACAATTTATTGCTTGCTGGCTGCCGGTGTGGTGTTTGGATATGCTGCGCTGAAGCCTGTAATGATTAAAGAAGGGATATATAGGGAACATTGTACGGAGCATGAAATTGCCAAGAATGTTCATGTGTGCTTTGAACAGGAGATTCGGTGAGTGGAATGGAGTCTCCTTGATATTATTGGAGTTATCAAGAAGACGATTTACTGATTTAGGAGTGATTTAGGCTGAATTTCATGTTTACGGTGGCTGCTGTAGCTACAAATGTCTGTGCCCTACTTGTTGGCGCAATTCTTGACCAGTATGGTCCCCGTGTTTCTGGCATGATCGGTTCGGCCCTCTTTGCGCTTGGATGTCTTGGGTTTGGGTTTGCCGATAAGATTCACAGTTATAGCATTGATCGTGAGTTCACTCTAGTTCACTATCACGAGGCCGTCACTAATTGATATGCTTGTAGCTTATCCAATCGCATATTTCCTTCTGGCCGTCGGTGGCCCTTTCATCTTCATCCCGTCTTTCCACCTGTCAAACGCATTTCCGACGCATTCAGGACTTGTTCTATCAATGTTAACTGGTGCATTCGACTCTTCAAGTGCCATATTCTTACTGTACCGCATTGTCTATGAAAAGACTAGTGGAAGAATTGGACTTCAGGAATGGTTTTTGGGATATCTCATCGTCCCGGCATTCATCTTCGTGATGCAAGTTCTTGTAATGCCAGCCAGAAGCTACAAGACGGTTGTGGAATTGGTAAGACAGGTTGAAGTTGAAGAAGAATTGGTATGTCAAAGCTCTATGTGCAATAATTTACTGGCCAGTGTTACTAATACCAAGTGTCGACAGCTTGAGGAGGAGGACAGTGATTATGAGCAGGACGAAGTTGAAGTCCGAATACGTAGGCAACATCACGAATCTGTTATTTGCGAAATTGATAGCCTGCTCGGCGGGAAGAATGCCGTGAAAGAGAGCGAGAGGAGACGAGAAAAAAGACATGAGGGTAGCGGTGTTTGGGGTGCCATGCATGGCCGTTCAGTCACGAAGCAAATAGCTAGTGGGTGGTTTGTGTTGATCGCAATGTTCACCATCATTCAAATGGTATATTCCCATTCCTCTTGGTCGAAGTACAGAATCTAATTCGTTATAGACTCGAATCAACTACTTCGTAGCTACAATCAGATCACAGTATGAGTTTCTCTTCCACTCTTATTCCAAAGCCGTTGAGATCAACGAATTCTTCGATATCGCACTTCCAGTCGGTGGTGTGCTCGCCGTTCCTTTTATTGGCCTGCTCCTAGACAGTTTTTCAACACTCTCGGTCCTGTCTATTCTGGTTACAATGGCTGCCGCAATTGGGGCTCTCGGTTTAGTAGAATGTTCATACACTGCAGCTCTTGCCGGAATAATTGGATTCGTTATTTACCGACCGTTCTATTATACCGCTGTCTCAGACTACACCGCTAAGGTGTTTGGTTTTAAGACGTTTGGAAAAATATATGGCCTAATCATATGTCTTGCGGGCTTGTTTAATTTCTCGCAAGCTGGGCTGGACGCATTGACATTCAAGGTGTTCCACAAGGATCCCAGACCAGTAAACTCTGGACTGCTTGTTGCCGCTGTGGCAATTGGAACAGCGCTTGTTTTATATGTGTGGAGAACCGGAAGGAAGATTAAAAGGTTCAGACTGGGCCTTGAGGCAGAGAGAGCGGAGCCAACTTTGATGCCTGGCGGATCGCTGAATGGTTATGGTGGTGTCTAAATAGGAGAATTGGGACAGAAATAGGTAAGTTTGGTGTTTTATGAGCGCGGGGAAGACAAAATTGGGAGTTTGAGCGCATTGCATTTTTTAAAAAAAAATTTTTTGTATCTTCTGTCATCAAGCATTTCCTGGTTTGTTTTTATTTCAATAAAATATACATGTATGCAATAGGTGGAATTTATACGAATGTACGATTATAACAGGGCAAGAGGCAATGAGATTTCCCTTTATTCCTTGAGTATATCTCGGGTCTAACCACCATTTTTGTTTATCTTATGTTGGTAGAATTAAAGACTTCATCTTGACCAAGGGACCTCGTAGACACCAGAGAATCAAGCCTTAGCTACATCGCGCCTGCATACTTTCATACCCAAATCCTATCTCATGTCCCCTGATGTGTTACCACCTGAGTGTACTCTTGCTAGGCGAGTATGAGTACTTCATGGTCTGACCTATCTTGGACTGTGTTCCCGGAACCCATATCAGCTTTCCTCGCAGAATCGACGTCCCTCGGTCAAAATCCTCACAAAATTTATAGGGTAGTTGGTACGGGGATCCGGGAGTGGGGTTAGGGATGTACCGACCAGTCATATCACATAGAGGTTTAGTCTAATTGACATAGTATTAGATACGATTTACATACACTTATAAACTACTTCTTCGAGTGATTACTCTCAGCTAAAAGGTGCGTACATGCGTTCCTGTATATGTAGCTAGTATTGGCGAGTCAAATGTGCATGCAATTGCATCATGAAGCATCACTCGACTTATCACCACTGCCTAGCATAAAAGGTTTAGCACCTAGACTGAACTAGGGCCCGAGACCCAGGGCACTACATGTATTTTGCTAAGGACGAATTTAGCCATCTATTCCCGAGATAGGTTTCAGTAAACTTGTATAAGCAACCGTTTAATGGGAGAGGAGGTTGAAACAACATTGCTTTGGACTTGCCCTACCCTGATTGCCCCCACTGTCAAAAGCCGGTAGTCTACTTCACTGTCTCTTAACTTCACCTTAAACCCAACTCTACCACCACAACCACCCTTCTTCACTACCACCACCACCATCTCCTTCACCACTCTTTCTAACCACCTCATCCTATTCTCTATCATTACAACAATTGTAACCGAGGTATCTAAATCGCACCTCCTGCTATAAGTCGGTCAAGAATCCCCAAAATAGGAATATTAAGTTGTAACCTAAACTTTTTTTTTCCAAAGTCATAGTTATTCTGAGGGTTCACATACCTTGGTTCTCATAAGCGAATAACAACAATGTCAATCGTTGCTTCTGAGTACACAGGCCCTCAGCCTGTCCGTCGTGTATTATTCCCGCCGGCTATCCTTGAGGCAGAATATCTCGGTCCTCTTCAAGAGCAAGATGGCAAGGGGTATCCCCGTACGTTCGGTTGCTCCTCCACCTTGGGAGGTATTCCAGTCTTTTTGTTTGGTGATGTCACTGCCAAACTTCCTGGCCCAGAAGGACGACTTATTGGTATCGCCACATCTGCCGCATCAGTCGGCTCACATCTTGACCCGTTAATTACTCACTGGCCATATCCGAAGAACAGCAGTGCATTCCATAATGTAGCAGATTTCATTCCATTCACCGATATAGAAAATGAGCACAACGCCAAGTCAAAGAGTGAGGGTAAAGGACGCACAGATAGATTTTACCTTTGGGCTCGTTCTCCGATAGTTGAAATTCCATTCAGTGGCAATTTTGGGGTGATCTTTTTCACAAAAGGAAAAACAAGTGAAGACGTCGGGAAAGGTGACGAATACCATGGTGTTGGTGTTGCAGAGGTTGAAATGAGGTTGATAGGGAAGGGCAAAAGCAAGGGCAAAGTGGAAGAAGGTAGTTTTGAGGTTATGCCCATTGCCAGACGGCATGGTAACCGCATATTCGACGTACGAACCTCCCAATCCTATTATGCGGGAAATAGTCGGGGCACGGTAACTAATTCAAAATTTTTTAGAACACACACCCAAAGTGGGGGGATATTGCCTCGATTATCAAGGGGAGGTATATTTACTTGTTTGGGACTCATAAAGATAATTCAAGCAATAAAGATTTCCCAAGTTGTCCAATCTTTCTGTGCCGAGTGCCTCATCAACACAGGGCCTATCTTTCCCCTCAGAATTATACGTTCTGGAACGGCAAGAGTTTTGTCGCTTCCTCAGCTAAATGCAAAGAATCCCTCGAAGTCACGGGACTGCAGCCGGTGATGTTTGATCTAAGTTCTGGAACAATCTTTCATAGTACTCTGTTCTCCCCTGACGACGATGGAAGATTTATCATGATTGGTTCTGACCTTCTGGACGGAGGGAGGGTGCTTATAACACACTCCAGGAATATATGGGGCCCCTGGGAAGAGAAAGAGCTCCTTATTGACTTGGAAGGTTTCACAGACTTGGAATGTTGCACAGACAATCGTTCTCCCCAAAGCAACGTCTATGTGCATATTTGGGCAAGTGATCTTGCGCGAGGCCAGTTGCTTATAAGTTGGAATCGACAATGGCCTAGTGATGTTGAAATGGCCAATCTCCATTTTGAAATGATGGATGATGACAGTACAAAAGAGGCCGATTCCATCAATTCCTTCAGACTTCCTGATTCCACCCGGGGAAAACGTGAAGCAACTCAGAGAGCCATGGATATGCTTCTGGGGGAGAGTACTGCACGCTCGCAAGAGTACACCCCAGAGACTGGGAAAAGATTCTTGCAAATGCTCACTCATGACGAGAATGAAACTTGCTCTCATGACGAGATGCTTGAGTGTCGGCGAAAGGCGCTAGCAAAGTTATCCGGTGAATGTTTGAGGCAGATTCCCGACGGCCGTGAATCCGTCGAGATAGCGAACTTTGTCAAAGCTTTATATAGCAGGGAAAATACTGTTCTCAGAGGTGATAATAAAAAAGGAACTCGGCGAAACACCCCGCACTTCAAAATGGGCGTACTTCCTTCCATAGAAGACAATGCCCTAGAGTCAGACGAAGATCCAAATGAATCCATAACGAGCGAATACACAAAGAGCAAGAGCCATTGGTATGGAGCTGAGGAAACATCGAAGATCGACCTCAACGCAGCGTCTGGAGAGCCCGAATTCGAAGGTTGCAAAAGATACAACCAAGAATCCTTGTGTATCAGTGATAGAGTGGAGGACAACAGCCCACCAAACGAGCAGTCGTGGTACACTGGAGATGTAGACATCAATGACTACAGGAGATATAGCCTTCTTCCATCCCAGGCAGAATTTGCTGGTGATCCGATTTCAGAGATGGGAATCCCACAGGTTGTTGTTACTCAGACGGACGATGATGTGATAACAAGCCTCCAAGGTGCTAGAAGTGACCATGGTGATGACGAGTATTCTACTCCAGTTGACGGCAACTACTCCCAAGGTCTTTCTTTTGCAGAAGGTCGTCAAGTCAAAGACGGGAAGATCAAGAGCCCCGGTCACTTTGGTTCAGTGAAAAGGTTCTTTGGAAAAGTTTTCAAGCCAACCAAAGGACATTGGTCCAGAGACAAAACCTTCCATCAAAGCACCACCTCACTACAAATTCCCAATAAAAAGGGAAAGGGTCTGCACGTGTCTCATTTCCTTCGTGGAGCTAAAAGTATGGTCAGCTTAAAGAGGAGCCCAGTCAACGCTTCATCGAGTCAGACTGGCTTTCTTCAATCTGGATTCTTTGCAGAGAGCGCCGAGCCTAGAAACTAAAATATTTTTTTCTTCGACCAGGCTCTTAACCCTGGATTCCCACCAGGATTAAACGCTAGTTGTAGTTGGGCCTTCCACGATGTGGGGGTTTATGAATATTCTTTTTTTTTGTTCGTTTTCTTCCTTCCCTCTTATTTGCATGCATGTGCTTACAATTCAGGTTTGGCAATACATGGTCAGCGTGGCGTACATAAATGCAACATGTGACTATTGAGCTAATTAGGTATATCGGGAGGGGGATTTTTCGGTTTTCCAGTTTTCCGGTTTTGTTTTTCACTCATTAAATTTTTTTGTAACGCTTTATAGCAAATTTAAACCAAATTTCTTGGGTTAACTATGGGCCTTGGCTTCTTTTTGCAGTCGGCACCCCCCATTATAGGGTAACATACATGTAGTGACTGTCAGCAATCACAAAGCAGTCACAATACAAATTGACCTAATCCTGATATCGAGTGATCCCCCATGATTCTAAATTACCACTACCCCCACCATCAACAACTATCGCCAACACATCAGCCCACCCCGCACAGAACACATGACACTGAAGATCAATACCTTCAGAGCCCAACGCAGATCCCACACAAACACAGTCATCATAACTGAGCACTCCCAGCCCACATTCCCCTACACCACCAAACTACTGTACCTCAAAATAGCTTACAAACCCGAGAAACAGACATTACAGCTAACGTGCGCACGTTCTTATACGTACCACGTATTATGTGATTCAGAATGGTGTTATCGGCATTGAAAGAAAGGATGCTAGCCATGTAATACTAGAGCAGGGGCGGGCCGGGCCGGTGAGGTGCATAAAAATAGACCGAGCTTTCATTGGAAGCATATATTAGAAACCCAGCTCAGAAAGGCCATCAAGCGCCATTCTTAAACTAGAGTACTTCATTTTTACGTACAAGACGATCTGTGTCTAGTTTGATTTTTTTTTTTTTTTTTTTTAGTTCCACCCACTCACACTTACCCTTCCCACGTATCACCTACGTCCCTATAGCTGCCTTGTAAGTGGAGTCAAGCCATTCCCATTTCTATTGAATTTAAGAGACTGGTTATTCTTGTATGTACAGAAAGTACACCATCCATCCTCAAGGAGCAGAAATTGCGGGGGCCCCCGGGTCCTAGCATGTCGAGTGATATCTAGTGACGGACATCGAGATCTATGTGCATTGGTGCAGTGGATAAGCGCGGCAGCGAGATAAGCGGTGAATGAGTGGGGAAGCCCGTATCAACAAGTGACGCAGCCCGTTGATGCGGAATTTTGTGGCT